AAGTCTGAAACTATCCTTGCCGAGGAACGTCTTGGGGGATGAAGACGGAGGAACGAGGGGCGATGAATCATCCTTGGAGATTCGATTCGGTCGATGCGAGATTCGTCAGCTCGAGAAATAATGGCTCGTTTCTTTCGAGCCGACGATAATCGTCGCATCCATAAGAAATTAAGAAACTATGCTACGTCGGATTATTAAACGAGAGGTGAATCGTTCTTCGCGAGAACGAGAGCGCATATAAAGTATACGAGTGATCGAGAGAAATCGATTGCACGAGTCACCGATCGTATCGTTTGGGATTTGGTTTCACGAAACTTGGTGGGTACTTCCGGTTTCGAATCGAGGAGTAAAAGAATGGTGGCCCTCGGAGCTCCGGTCGACCTCGTTCTATCGATTTACCGGGGAAAGCCGAGCAGAAGCGACGCGAAGAAACATTCCGGGCAGCTGCGTTTCCCGTTGCAGCGTTATGAAGGCACCTGCGCTGAACGATTTCGGCTCGTTTATCGTTCTCGTCTTCTAAACCAGAGCTGATGTTAAAAAATTTCCTGTATACAACTGGGAACGCGCGTGCCGGCCGTAGTGGTTACGATCGCACGAGGGTTTCGCCCGATGTTCGAATCACGATTTCATTGAACCTTCCCATCTAGAAATAGCTTGGTTGTAAAACGTGCACGCTTTCACGGATCACCCTTCCTGCTCTGTCATCCGTTTGTCGTTCTGCAGCTTATCCAACCAAACAACCGAGCTATGTACATTTTTACTCCGTCCCTGCCACCGTCCGCTCTAATTTTCTGCCTCCCATGGGCTCGCGAACATTTTGCATCTCGTTTCGCGTGATCCCTACGCGTGTAGTTACCGTCGAAAAATCGGGGTCGCGTGAACAACAGAAATATTCGCGTTCACGAAGTACAGTGAACCCGTGGCCAATCGGATCGACGTCAGAGTAACGAGTGACGAGCAGGAAATCAAGTTTTCTGAATTCACGGAACGAGGATAGAGGCACGCTCGCGGTGCCAGGCAATATCGAACCTCAGAGCGTAGATGTTTTGATAGAAAATCGATTTCCGGTAAGGGTAAAGGCAAAAGCTCTCGGAGTTTCGCGGTTCATGTACATACGCGGTATACCTATACACGCCGCACGGTTGCTTTGTTCACCAAAGAATCGATGCGTGAATCGAGTAAATACTACCCGTACCTTTTTCATCAAATATGTAATAAAATAACACTAAACAGAAACGTGTAAAATTTCGAAATGCAAACGTGACACGAAGCTTGTAAAATTCGTTTTTTTACGCGTTCCTATCAGACGTCGTGTTATCGGATCAAATAAATTTTTACCAGGGATGCTATTCGGAGAAATTCTGTGTTCGGAGAGAATGTCTGCTGTGAAAAATATCGAAAATGGAAATAATGTGTTTGCAATTCACGTAGATTCCCGATAATGAACGCGTTGTCGATGATTACGCCACGACGCATCACCGATTTCGGCCTGGATTTTCGCGAGAATTTACGGTCGCCCACTCGTCTTTAGTCTGTAATGCACGCGGGTGCATCGTATCGGAATATCGCGGAACGGAAGCGAGCGCGAAACGAGAATGGAAGGAGCTTTATGGAGATTAGCTGGGCGCGTAAACAACGGTCCGGGTCAAATAGGAAATTCAATTATAAAAATGAAAGGGTGTACTTCGTTAAGGCTGTTCTATTGAAATACAAGACACTGCAAATTGTTTTATGTTATTCTCGTAATGAACGTACGTAAATTTTTCAGATAATAAAATTTAAAAGTACAGAACCTCACGTTTTCACGGCCTTTAGGATCTGCCGTCGGAACCACCTTAATCAACTGCGTAGGTCATTCTTTTCGACTCGAGCCCGCGTACTCGACTTGAAAAAAGCTGTTTTTATACGGGCGCAGCTATTTGCCAGTTTTGCTTGGTAAAAAAGCTAGAGAAAGGAGCCGCGAGTGCAGCGGAGGGAGCCGCCGAGGGTGAACCCGCTGGCAGGCATCCAACAGGACTCTGGAAAAATTCTCTAGAAACACGGCAGAGGAAGCCGAACGAGAAACGGGAAACGGGAACGCGAATGAAACGATGAACGTTAAAACGCGTCTCGTCGCGAACGTGTTCTGAACGCGATCGGTTGGCGTCGATAATTGAGGTGTCGATGTCTCTCTGACTGCTCGAACACACAGCGGCAGCTAACCATTGGCAGCCTGCCAGCTACTCGTCGTTATCGATGCCTACGGTGTTGACCGACAAACAAAAGGGACCTCCATGCATTGTCCTCGACGAGAGCGAATGCAGGTCGAGAATCCAATGGCCGGGCTCCATTCTCGACCGATATTGCATTCCGCGGAGGATCATCGACGCGCGCCTCTACCCGCTCAATAACTTTGCTTTTTAATCAACTTTACCCTATCTTCCCGTGTTACGCGATCGTCTCCGCATAATTTCGACATCTGAGACCCGTCCGTCCCCGTTGAAAATCGATCGTCGTTTTGTTTAAAGTTAATCGAGCCGACGGAAGGTGAACGACGCGCCAGGGTGAGTGGAAAGAGCCGCGAATTGAAGGCAACGGGATTGACGGGAACACGAAACGGCAATCACCGGCTAATGCTCCTCCGTCCGCGTAGTTTCGCATATAGTTAACTTCACCCGAAAAATACATATTTATTCAATAGATTTTATGCAATTCATTGAATCGAACCGAATGTTTAAGCGGTCCCGAAGAAATTCAGCTTTTACTTTGCCGAGTGCAATGACGGCGGCGGTCTGTCGTTGCTCGGTGAGCAGGGAGATCGCATTGACAGTTTGACAGATTATACGGGGACGGATATGAAACACGGTACGAGGCGCCCACGCCCACGCGTCCGTCCTGCGAAATAAGACTTTTTTCCTATCCGCCTTAAACACATAAACTGTAACCTACATTCTAATAACCATTCATCGAGAATATCTGCAGGCGACACCGAAATGGCTCACGACGAGCTTGCAATTTCATCAGAATTCTTTTCACCCTTCTCGACGATTCCTTGTTTCCCCGGAGGAAAAGGGGGAAGCTGATTTTTCCTCCGCTTCCCGCTCGACCGAAACGTTCGTTCTATTTTCCATCACGCTTGCCGCCATACGTCTCGAACAATTTCTCGAGCGCGCCGCGGCGAGCCCGTCGACCCGCGTTACGTTTCCCTGTCTCCCCTTACGAACGTCGTTTCCCCTACCTCGTTCCACGGAACCACCCGGTACACGAATCATTGCGATAAATTAGTCCGGAAAACGGTGTTCCGCGTTACACCCACGTGTAACGTTCCGTAGACGCGCGTGTCTACGTACCTCGTCCTATCGCCGCGAAACGAGTAAAAATGTTCGGCCGCAAATCTGATTGCTCGACGAATTACAAGCACGTTTTAACTGGAACTGGTGTGTATGTCTAAAACGTTCTCCAGCTCTCAGACGCGGTGAAACCAGAATCTCTTTCCAAAGAACGTAACCCTTTGAAAAGCGGCACAATTTTTAGGCCTTTCACGTTCTCGAAAAGAAACCCGACTACTCGAGCCACTAACGCTGCCCGTAAATGGTTTCCGCGACGCGGCTCACCGATTCTTTTTGGGACATTGCATTTTGCTTTTTGTGTAATGGACTTTCAATGTATGCCGACGAAAACGTGACGAGACCCGATTTTTACGGAAAACTACAAATTCCGTCCTTGCACGACGTTCTTAGTCGAATATGATACACGGCGTGTACGCAACGCCAATATTTAAAGCGCAATAAAATCGATAAAACGATATCTATTTATTACTGCATTGTTCGGAAACGTGGCAATTGATAATCTCAGGATTCGGATTGCAATTTCGAACAACAATTGCACGGATATTTCGGATATCTTAATCGACAAATAGGTCAACTATCTCGAGATCATCTTTATACTAGACGTGATTAAACCTCCTTCGCCTTTCTTTTCTGTTTCTTCTTCGGCATTACATCAAACGCAAGCTGAAAGGCTTCAGCCCTTTTGTTCGGATTAGTTTCCTCGACGAGATATTCGAACCGCGAGGAGCCCAGGTCTCTGTGGTATCGCTTCCTTCTTTCGAAGTCGAGAGCAAAGCGAGACCGAGAGCAATATCTAACTAGAAGGGGAATTCTAGGGGAAGTAATCATCCCGGGAAACCAGCTTTTGTCGCCGAAGAAACCAAAGAATCGGCTTCGTTCGTCTTCGGCGAGAAGTAACGGGGAAAGTTTAGTTTGCCCCTGAATCGAGATTCATACCTAAAGGGAGGAGAGGCTATAGGTTCTTAGAGGCACAAAGAGCTCGCACGAGCAAACGAAGCGCGAACGCTAACGATTCTATATCGATCCTATTTACCCATCTCGCGAACTTCTCTTTTTACAACGCGTATCGTTATTTCGTAGGTTTCCGAGGTAATGAACGTGGCAACTCGTTTCTCAAGGAAACCCATTATTTTTAACAGTGGAACGTGTTGGTCGGAAGTAATTAAAGGCACTTGGTCGTCCGGTTCGAAATCGAAGAGGGGGTTTAATTGAGAAGGAAACAAACCCGCGGCTGCGCCGCTAGGCGTCAAATGTGCACCGTTGTCTGTAGCAAGAGTGGCAACAGTTAACTCGCGCAAGGGGTTCTGAAGGATTTTCAGAGAACGAGAGAACGAGAGAGAGAGAGAGAGAGAGAGAGAGAGAGAGAGAGAGAGAGAGAGAGAAAGGTAGAGAGAGAGAGGGCGAGATATTCGTGGTCGTAAGGGCACTAGAATTATCACGGTACACTAGCCCTCTTCTGTTCCGACCCTCGCTCCCGTGATCGTCTGTGCAGCCTCGATCATTTTTGTTGCCCCCGTAAGCCTCGTCATCGCTTTCACGACCGGAGAAGCATGGAGGAATTCGCGAACAGATGAGCAATTTTCTGCGAGACTTTCAGAACAATGCCTCTTTTCTTTTCTCACCTATTCTCCCCTCGACTTACGATCTCAAATACGATGTTTACTGTTGCAGGCGGCCTGTCACCGATAAAGATGTCAGATCTCCGAGCCGATCGTCGAGTGTCTACTACGAAACATTGAGACGACTACGAGAAACATAGAAGAAATATTCGGTAAGTAGCTCGGCACCATCGAAACCGCTTCAAGTGGCGGTTTTCTGACGAAGGGAACGCGTCTGTTCCAGAACAAGATGTCTATGACCGGAAGCTTAATGGGTTACGAGAACAATAACGATGTAAACCAAGTGAAGTGCAAGAAGCCGTTGAAACCGCTTCCGATAGTTTCGAGCATAAATTCGAGCGGTGTCACGAGCACCGGCAAGACTAAGAAGCCGAGGAGGTCGAGCAAACGAAACTCTTGCATACGAGGCCACGTCAACAGCCTGTGGTCCGTCTGGTACGGAGTTTTGGCGGTCGCGTTTCAAGCTTACATCGGTCTGAGATACGCCAAACGTTTCGCCGGTAAGGCTCGCTCGATTTTCTCTCAACACTCACGCGCTCGGCCGTTTGATACAATTTTAAGAATTCATACCTCTGGTGCGAAAACGCCAGGCGTTGTATAAACGCGATTAATATTTAAGTATTAATTATCCGTGGCAGCGTACTTGTCGTTACCTTGGCCCGCGGACGCTCCACCGGCGAAGGTAGAATTGTACGCGTGTTTGGTGCTGGCCGGTACCGGCGTGGTCCTATTACCAGTACTGCTCGGTGCAGCTTTTCTAAAGCTCGGCAATCTAGCCAACGATGGAGTGAAACTCGGTCGTCATTTGAGCGCGTGTTCGCGCGATCCGCCATCCACGCTGCTCACCAACAATCCGGATCACAGTGAGTAACAATTTATCCCTCGTTGTTCCGGGGTAAATAGATTTATCTTGACGGGAGGCTCGCTCGGTTTGGCACAGGTTTGGCTAATAATTTATGGCGGCACGGAGGTCCCACAGCTGCCTTCATACATCTCTGCACGGCGATGTGTTTCTTGCTACCCTCGCTCCTCATGGAAGCCAGGCTGATACACGCCGGATTTTTACCGAAAGGTCAGTCATTTTCTCTTCCAGTATTTATTAAACCAGTTTTCATATTAATTAAATACTCCGTACATCGGGCGACGGTCTCGATTCTAATTCTCTGCTCCCGAGATCGTCATCTGTTAGATTAGAAATTCCATTCCTCCGAGATGAAACGCGTGTAATTTTCTTAAGACGTTGAGACAAAGAATAGGCGAGCGATCGTAGCTTCCGGTTCAGGATAACATCGTTATAGGATAAAACGACTCGCGCATGGATAAAAGGGCCGTCGGGATGTAACAGGGCAACTTCGTCCTGAGTACGTCCTGCTTCGCGTATTGATCGGCCAGGTGTGTGCATACAGTTTGCCGCAGGAGTTGTCGTTTCCCCGTTCAGATACAACGATCTCCTCCTATTCCCATCCGGAACGATTTACGTCGATGACCCGCCTATCGATTCTCCTCGATACCCAATCTCGTTCAACGATTCTTTTTATTCCTTCATTTTGACGGAGCGAATTGAAAAAATAGGGAACAGTTATTGCCGTTGAATCATCGTGTTTCTAGCCGTTCGTTTCTCAGTTTCCCTCGTTCGATATAGACGGGAAAATCCTGTTTTGCAGAAGCGATATGGCGCACGGATCTGGATTGGCTGGTGACGCATCGCGATCGGCTCGTGATATCGAGCTTCATGAACCCGAACGTGAATCTCAGCATCCTGACTAGTTTCATAACGCCTCAGCCCTTCGTCACGCTGTCACCCGACAGCGACGACGATAGCGTGGCGAACGATATCACCACCGCCGCGTTCAACTTAACCGATCTCATCGAGAAACCAGATTCTCGGCCGCGGGACGTTACGAATAATTACCTCGGTCTACTTAGACCCAGTCATGCACCGGTTTCGAGTACCAGTACAATTTCCGCTGTAACTACCGGTAGGAGCACGACCACGCGGAAGGAGGAAATTACTGTCGCTCCGAAGTCACCGTCGGCGATCAACGAGACCGTAAAATCGAACGCGGCATCGTCGATGGCAACGACGGAATCGAACACTGCGAGAACGAGCACGACGACAAGTAGAATGATAGGGACGAGTACTATAAAATCCTCGACAAGGACGGTAGACGCAACGAGAGCAATACCGTCGATGCAATCGTTGACGACGAATTCGACGAGCACCTCGAAAAGTGGCTTAGAAGTCGCGAAATACGGAAACGTAGCCAAGCGACCGGTGGCGGCTAAGTCGATCGTGAAGAGCAGTAACGCGAAACGATCGAAAACGAGAAACATGGGAAGATCGTCGACGACGACGATCAGACCGAAGCTCAGACCCGCTGGAAATATGACGGGGCAAACGATGTCGTTGACGATGAACAGTCTAGCCGATTTGGATCATCCGGAAAATTTGGATCTCGAACTCGAAACTCGTAAGATAATCTTCTTCTCACTTTTCTTCGACCGTCACGCGAATCCACAAACGATTTATCTCCTTCAGCCGAATCGTACGGACCTATCACATTGGAATACTTGAACTACGCGATTGCTCTGGGCGTCTATTCCGTGAGGTACCCGGCGGTCTTCTGGTCGTGTAACAAAGCGTTGGCCACGATCTTCAGTCTTCAATTAGTGGCGAACTCCGTCCAGAGTTTGCTGGCCTACGTCGGGATGTCCGTTCTCTACAAGGCAAGTGACAATTCTCGTTTCAGTCTGTCGTACCGAATTCAATTATCAATTTCTCAGAACGTATCCTGATTTATTTTTCATTTTCAGGTTCAGCTGATGGGACCTTTGAAGGTGCTGCCCGTTCTCCGGCAGCAATATCGCACGATATCGACCACCAGCAGCATATCGACCTTCTTCGGAGACACGTATTTTTTACTAAACCCACACGTGACTCTGGTCCTGTTCGCTCTCTCCTCACTGCTGGTCCTCTGCTCCAGCATGGTGATGTACTTCTACGCTTACGGCAGGTAAGTCGACGGATTCCGATTCGAGAAAGAAAGAAGCTGAGTCGAACAATTTCTGTGGTCAGGTTCACGGCGTTTTTGAATCAGGAACGCGAGCGTCGAGTGATCTTGCCGAAAGAGAATCGGAACCGGAACGGCTGGGTGTATTTCATTCATTGCACCGCCCTTTGCGTGTTCCTGGCAATTGCGATTTGTAGCGCACCGTTGCTGTACGATTACAGCGTCGTTTATCGTGGCAGTCTCGACGGTGTGATCTTAGCTTGCGTGGTCAGCACCGTTCTCCACTTGTTCCTGTGGCTGGTGTTGTGGATCTTCCTGACGATCAAGCAACGATGGACGTTCAAATTGAGAGTGACGATCGGTCGTGCGACCGTCCGATCGGCGAGATCCGTGAAACTCGTCACGGACGTGGATCTGCTATCGGCCAGGGAGGACGACGATGGGACTAACGCGCCGTTGTTGGTCGTTGGTAACGGCAGGACTTATACCATAGCCGACGCTTCGCCGAAGAAAGCCATCATGAGCGTGATACAGAAGGCTGCGATCGAGAGAAAAGCGCGATCTCAAGGTATACTCAACGTCTACATATACGAATTTAATTATATCGATTTCTGAGTTTGAGAGATAACACGGATGATATCTGTCTATGATGGATGGATTACAGGAGCTAACGGAGATTCCGTGGACGGAGACGACGAGCAGATCTACTGGTTGAGACCGAAACTGCGTCCATCGCCTCCCAGATCGCCGAGCGAAGCGAACGCAGCACCGAACATGGAAAAGGGTTGGCTGAACAAGAAGTTGAAACCGAAAGTCACCTTTAACGATCTGCCTAGTACGTCAGGCTCGCGGTAACTACCCTCCTCCCTCCTCTTGATGTCTTTCTGTATGGTTCTATGTGTATCGTTAACGTGTGACCATGCTCTTCCCTCTTCAATCCATCTATTATCTGTAAGCTTTCTGTGCGATTCCGATCGTGTCCTCGCTTCTGATGCTAATAAGTGTCGTACGATATCGATCCTGTCGTTTCACCTTGGTCTTTTTTCATTACCGTATATCATCATCGTGCCGTGCTTGCACACGCGCGTTACGATTGTGTGCTTTAAACAGAATACCGTTGCGTACCCCCTTTCTTCATTAACTATTTAAAAACAACAGCAAGCGCTTTGGATTTGAAATAATCGCGTGGTGCACGGTGCAACGCATGACGAGACAATGTAAAATAATTCGACCGAACAATTTCCTCTTTTATTACGCTGAACGTCGTGCTGAACGTAGTAAAAGTTGTTATCGCTATCGATGTCTTCCGATTGTTCCTCTTCTCTCTTCCACTTTCGCCCGCATCCCGCTGTCTCTATCTATCTTCGAAGCGCAGTACTTTCAATGTACAACACGTGTCATTTGAATTCCAGTAATAAGGGAAAAGTCAGACGAGGCACCGGTGACGGGGGCCCCGAAGACGACGGCGATTACGCCACGCTACGAGAAATACCGCTGATCACGTCTCTAGATCCAGCCGACGATTCGACGTCCGAGGAGAACAAGGTATAATCATCTCGCTCGCTCGGTTTCAACATAATAAATAAACGTCCCCTCCGCTGTGAGAAATGTTTCTCATCCGATACTCGTTGCTTATTTTTCTCTTAATTTCATTTCGTTCTGCTTCGACAGTGGGAGAGGTGGCTGGTTACTCGACGGGACGGTATTCCTAAATTCGGAGACGTGAGACCCAGAGAACTGTGTTTTTCATTTCGTTTTCTTTTCCGCTTCTAACACGACGCTAACATCTGCCAGTGCTTGTAATAGACCAGAAAAACTCGACCCGACGATGGTGCACGTGCTCGATTCTTCCAGTCCTACCATTTAGAGTATCGATCTACGTACGCACGTCGCAAAAATAGCTTCACATCGACGCGACGTTCAAACGACAAGTACAAAACATTCTAGGTACACGAAACAGTCGGTGCACACCGTTGAAAAATTCCGATCGACGGTGTTTAAGAATCATTTCAGCGTGTTTGCTCGTCGTCGTTTCCCCTCCTTTTATCAAACATTATTACGAATAGGTGTACGAATATGAAAATGTTGACGGTCGTGTGTCTTGACACGAGATTGGCTAATTAATCGTGGCAAACGTTTCAACAGCTGCTCGAGTGCGTAAACGACGACCAAGTGACGTACTACGCGAGCGCAAACCGCGATCTTCAACCCTCGGAAGGCGACCCCTCGCCTCTCTTGACTCCAGACCCTTTGCCTGATCCCGTTTCGGAGCCACTTCCATTGCCACCACCGACTCCAACTTGCGCACCGACTACCGAAATTGTCACAGCGACACTAACCACTAACATTCAGGTACTAACAACTTGCTAAACTGTGTCTTATCTCCTAACTCCAAAAACGTCGCGTGACTAAAACCGGAATGAGACCAACGACGACACGGGAAATCTAGAATACGTGTTTCAAGAGATACGGGTTGGTTCCAGACGAACGGGGGACAAACGCCGCGATGCCTGCGTCGAGCTGATTCGGGTATGCCGCACGAGGAATTGACTCCACGTTCGGATTCCTCCAATTCCCCGCCGCTGGACGCGGTCATCACGGGCGGCGGTAGCGGAGCCGGTTCCGTCGCGGGACAGAGCAACGCCAGCAGCCACAGTGAAACGTCTTCGAGCGGGGTTCATAGTAACGCGAGCAACGGGAGCAACGGCAGCTGCCAGAGACGCGCGACCAGCGTCGACGACTTGACGAGCACCGGAGTCGAGCAACGGGCTTCCGGTACCGAGGAATCTCGCGATCAATGGCGTAGCTGTTCTCTGCAACGAGGGATGCAGCCGCCGACCGCGGCGACCGCTTTCTCTCCGCCGAACAGTCGGCCGGGAACGAGTCAGTCTTTCGCCTCCCCTCAGTACGCGAATCACGTGCCGCTGTTCGCGAACGGAAACGCGAACGCGACCGGTAACGCGAGCACGACCGCGAACGAGGTTCCGGCATCCGGTTGCCCGGCGGTGATTCTCGAGAACCCGAACGAAGCGACGGTGGTCATACGAAGGAAATTGTCCAGGACGAAGTTGACGGATCCTCTGAATCCGAACGAGGAACCGTTCGGTCGTTCCACCAACATGAGGATGACTTCGTTCACGGAGAGCAACGACGTTCGCGTGCACGCGTCCTCCGCGACTTTACCGCATTATCCGACGCAACCGGTCGTAACTTATCCGCACTGCTCGACCATGCCTCTGCCCCATGCGTCTCACAGCACCGGCGCGGGCTCGCATTTGGCTGGCTCGAGCGGAAGTTGCGGCTCGGTACCGAGGCACACGTTCGTCCCGCCGCAGATGCACGCCACCGTTCCCGCCCACACCACTCTACCGTCCCATCACAACGGCGTCAGACTCATCCACGGAATCGCGCCCACCCCGAGCAACCCCTTCGTCAAAAGGTTTCCACCCGTGCAACTGCACACGCAACCGTGGGCCCTGCCCGGCCACCACACCTTCCCCCAAGCGCCTCAGGTCAACGGCAAGTTGACCGCCACCGCGCAGATCAGACAGACTGATCGCGACTCGGCCAACTTTTCCATGGCCAGCAGCGGCGACTCCGACACGTGTTTGCCTCACTAGGAACCGATTAGATTCCAAATTCCCGGCCACTTTATTCTCGCTCACGGACGATCGCCGATCATACTCGCGGATCGAATCTCAAAGAGAGTCTCGAAGACAGAAAAGGTTTCTCGGACATCGACTCACGACCATTTCTACATATCATGTATTCGCGATAACCGACGGAACGTGTGGTCATTTTAAATTAAGTACGAGTCGAAAGCGAACAGATGAATTTTGTACTCTCGCTGTCGACTTCGACGCGTGTATCTCGTTCTTCCATATCAAATATCTCTCGATACCAAAACGCACGATGCATTTGAACACAGAAAAGACATATCTTATGCTCGATACTCGTTAATCAACGCACAAAATAATCGAAAAAAAGCAATTAAGGAAACCTTTTCTCTCTTGTCGGATTCCCTTTCTTAGAAACTTCCCTTAGACTGTTAGTTCCGCGTTCGGTATCGCGTGTCCACCGATATCTGACTCGCGAAAATAAATAATTTAATAATCGCATATGCCGCTTGAAACTGAACAGCAAAACAATATTACAGTAACTACTTAGCGTACGGAATCGAGGCGGCGAATACAAACATAATCGATCACGGAGAATGGAAACGATCATCCATTTTTTTTTTTTATTCTTTGTTCTACGTTTCATTTGCCTAGAATGGCCGCGCCAGATAGAAAGTCGAAAAACGAGTGACTGCCATAATACTATTGTATCTCAATTGCAATGATCTGTGATTGGATTCAGCGTCCAATTCGTTGATCGATACTGCCATATCGTTTCGTTACATTTACTACGTTTCGCCGATTACTTTCCACGATCGCACGCGTTCATTGATTAAGCTTTCATCACAGATTAAAATAAGGCTTTGGAACGGTCGTATTCCTTCGACTAAAAACCTGATCGACGTTGTACAGCGCACGGGCAAACAGTGTCACCCTGACGATTCGCCGAGTTCCTCAAACATCCAAAAACGACGAAAGCTTAGCGTAGCTTTCACAGCATACGAATCTATCGCTAACCCATAAACTCCGCTTACATTTTCTATGAAAACTACGCTATTCGTACACCAACAGAGACCACCGTGAACGTTTTCCTTGGGGAACAGTGGCCATTCAAATTTCCTGAACATTTCGAACCGAACTGTTCCGGCGCTAATCTCAATTTTCTATGTAACGAAACGAAATCTCGCAACGTTTCAAGACTATAACTGCATCCGAGGAAACTGTTTCTAGGTTGAACGAACGATCTCACGAGAAACTGTTGGAAGAGACCAACGCGATGTAATTATAATTAAGGCTATATTGGCTATATTGGCTATACAGTCAATCCCAAAAGTTTATGTACCTTAGAAAAACGCATTTCCTATAATTAAAAAGAAATCAGACGTCGGAAGAATAATGCTAATAATAAATAGCTACGTGCTAAAAAGTATAGAANTTCTATACTTTTTAGCACGTAGCTATTTATTATTAGCATTATTCTTCCGACGTCTGATTTCTTTTTAATTATAGGAAATGCGTTTTTCTAAGGTACATAAACTTTTGGGATTGACTGTATAGCCAATACATCCTTAACGTAGACTCGACTTCTATGATCAGCGACGTAACGATAAGACTAAACGCACGAGTAGTAGGAAAAACATGCACGGTTTCTTCGCTTCGTTCGGCGAATCACGAGACGTTACTTTCACAGTTTTCTGTCTGACGTTAGTCGTCGTAGTCGGCGAAAATTAGAGAGAAATTCTGCTCAACTGCAGCGAACACGATAGAAGTACGCGCGTTATTTTTGGAATATCTGTCTTGTCTGAAATAGGATCAGAACGCGTAATGCGTCTGCTTCGATTAATATCGTCGAGGACCATGTGTATCCTAACACGTATCATAGATTTTTCGCATTGGAGAAAGATGAAATCAAGAGCAGTGCTGCGTTGCCGCGAAACATCGAACACTCGTGTACAGATCGACCTTTTTATACGAATTCGCGTAAAGAATCTGTATCATATTTTTCATGCACATATCGCGAGCTGAAGCAATCCCAAATATCGGATAACGTATACCTAATAAGAGTACTCTAACGATAAGTCGAGACAGCCTACCTTTCTTAGCTTTTTCTAGCTTTCCCCTCTCTCGGACTGAAACTACGAACAATAAGAAGAAAAGCAATTCTCGAATAGATTCGAGTCGATATTTTTTGAGACCCAGATACTGTAGACGAGCAAGTAGCAATTTGGAAATTGAGACCCTTCGGTCCCGATGCGGGCCACGACGTTCTTTTTAGAAGTATTCGACGTGAATCCACGGACACATACATATATATGTACGTATGTAAATATGTGTGCTCGGATCTCCTCTCTCACACGTGGAAGCGTCGCGAAACGAAATCGAAGAAATCGGCATTAGGCGGAGAACGGATCTAACTTTTGATACCTCGATAGTATCTCGGATAGATGAACTCGATCGCGAGGGACGAGATTTTCAATTTATTCTTCTAGAATCGAATAAGGACAAAGCTTATATGCATTAATCGTGCATATATTTTTTCAACGCGCATCGGTCGTAAATGTATTCTCCAGCTGCACGGGAGCTGACCACACTTGATTTCATCTTTGTTCGAAAACGGTAGGGAACGCGTCAACGATATTGCGTCTTGAAACAAAGGATCACCTTATCGATGTACGGTTAGTCGATCGATGAACGAATACAATTTTGAAAAGAAATTTAATTGGTCGACGTGCGACGCGAGGACCATAAACCGGTGGCAACGAGAACATCGAGAATCAATGATTTCAAATTGAGATTAAAATCAATCATTCGTCGAGACATTGGAACGATCCGTCCTCATCGGAAATCAGATCGAATTCGAATTCACAATCATATCATTGGTCTCTTGCTGTTCGCGAGTCTCGCGAACGAAGCGGTCGTTGCAACGGCCGAAGAAATCAAAATTAGATTCCGTCGTCGCGATCGCTTCGATTCGCGTTATCGATCATCATTCATCACTCGACTGCGGATTTGATGCATTTACGAAAAAAAACAATTGAATGCACATTTGACGTTTAAACGAAGAAAGGACACGTCTTTCGAACCGATATCATCCTGAACATTTCATTTCGCATAAGAATCCGCGGTTCAATCATTATCTTGTCGTATCATAAACCGAGAATTCCGTTAGCGTATCGTCGAATATGCTGCCACATTCGCGGAAATATTTTTTTACCATTTAGCTGAGAAGTTACTTTGTTCGTTTAGATTCAGCTAGAGTCCTTGACAATGAGTAAAACGTACGTAGATGATTCGGAAGAGTACTCTGACCCGAGAGAACCTATCCGAGGTGCAATTTTTCATTCTTCGCGCTACCTACACCTGAGAGAAAACCTGAGATAAGCCTCGGAGCTGTCTGTATGCGTGTACGTATGTGTGATAGACGCGCACTCGTAGTACGGTAACGCGAAAGGGAAAGAAGAAGGAAATGTGTACCAATATGTCCGTGCCTACGTTCGATTCGTCGCCTTCGACTAAACTCCTTTATATATATATAAAAAAAGAAGAAGAAGAAGAAGAAGAAGAAGCTGCAATTGTAAATAATCGTAAGAACCGAATCAGACTTGCAAGCAGGATGAAAGGAAGGAGCGAGAATGAATGACGGAGAGATATTAACGCGACAAATTTAACGGATATGTACGAATAATTGTATAAAGACTGATTAGACTAATCTTGGTATATTTATCCTAATTCACGATTAAACGCTATCTCGCTTCTCGCGCGTCCTCGAATATTCACGGAGCACGATACCAAAGGTATATTTCCTGAATCAACGTTCCATTTTCTCTTCTTCTTTGGCAACGACCACGCGAACTCTATTGTACGTACGTCTACCATGAAAACGATTCTTCTGTATTTTATTTGATTTCGCGATACGAACGAATGGAACGTCGGAAACAGAACGATCTGCACAGAATAGAGAGTAATAGGATGTGTACAGAACATAGAGAACGAACGGCACCGTGTGTATCGCGTACTCGTAACGGCCTATGAAATCATTTTGTGATCTACGTTTGATTCGATTACAATTTAAGACGATCTATGTTAATGCGTTACGTGGTTGCGTTTTCCCACGGAGGCACAGCGTCGCGGCACCAGGTTGAATGTGCGTACGAGGAAAAAGAGAAAAAGGAAAATGGTATGCGCGATTATAACACCGACACTATTATCGTCACATCGTATCAATATTATTCGATGCATCGCATAAGCAAGCAAGCAAACTAGATGTAAACTTTGTATATTCATTTACCAAGAGAATAAAGATAAATTATTCGACATATCGTCCTGGTGATCCTCCTATCCACAAATAATATTTCGAATCAAGGAACCGCCGGGCGGAAAAGGAATAGGCCGACGTTCCAGCCAATAGAGTGGGGGTCACGTGTGTGACTATCGCGCAGAATTCAAAATTATGCCGCTAATCTTGAACAACAATCCAGTTTAAGAATCTCTGTACTTGTATGTTAAATTGTATTTCAATAATTTTATATACGCGCTAACAAACGTTGAGATTCTGTTTTTTGCTTTGATGGCAATTATATTCTAGAGGGCGTCGAAAGTTGCAGACTTTCGTGCGACACGAAGTCCCATAAGGCTACCGCTCTTTAGAAATCTCTTCTCGGTGGTTTCACTATAGCTGACTATAGCAAACACGTGCAAAATGATTAATTTAGAGGAGTCTACTCCTTTTGAAGATACAATAAATTCTGAATTAGCGATTTATTACAAAAGATTATTTCCTTTCGAAGACTATTATCGTTGGATGAGTTACAGAAATCGTACGTGAATTCATAAAAATTTTTCTATTCTTTCAAACGACATATTATTTCTCTAATATTGTTTCAGAATCTATATTTCAGCGTAGAGAATTCGCGTTTACTATAATAAAAAATAAGAAGGAAATCTATATCCGTCATCAATCTTTCGATAATGCAAAAAAATTGGAAGTTGAAGTTAGAAATTTGAAACCTACTAAGATTCATATAGGGGCAATGTACAATGTTCGGCAAGTATTAAACAATCGTAACGCTTACCTGACAATAAATAATCAATAATATTTTTTAGTCCAACGAAACCTTGTTATAATAACTATTTTCCAACTGAAAGAGAGTTAATTTTTGACATAGATATAAATGATTACGATGATATAAGAACATGCTGCACCGGTGACCAGATTTGTCCCAAATGCTGGAAATTCATGGCACTTGCATGTAAAATCTTGGATAATGGTTTAAGAAGTAAATGGACAAATTAATAATAAAGAATTGCCTGGTTTTGGCTGAAGTTGAAACTTAGCAATAATTATTTATACATTTTTTAGTTGACTTTGGATACAACCATATTTTATGGGTATTCTCTGGTAGAAGAGGTATTCATTGCTGGGTGTGCGATCAGAGGGCACGTATTTTAAGCCCATCTGAACGTCAGACAGTTGGAAAGTACTTTCAAATCATAAATGGAGGAAAATATACGTATAAAAAAGTAAAACTTGATAATAGAACGCAATACTTGATCAGGTGCATAGAATCTACTAGTTTTAACATTAATTCTATGCAACATATACAAGCAGCAGATTATATCATTTTAGTTCGGCGTTGGACATGATAAGACCTATTTTTGTACCATTCATTGTGAAAGAACAAGACATACTGGGGACAAATGAAAGGCTAGCCAAGTTTTTAAACGTGATTTACGATGCTGAAGACAGAGAAGCCTTAAGATCACAAATGGAAACATTGGAAACTAGCAGTCAGAGATGGAATACGTTTGTTTGTTACATTGAAAACTTGCTAGATGTATGAACCACTTTTTATGATTTTCAAGTTCATTCAATATCTACTTCCTCCGAATTTACTATTAAATATATTACAGAAAACCAAGAAGGAGCATCATAAATATACTTATTTAATAGATGAAATAATGCTACAGTATACATATCCAAGGATGGATATAAAAGTTACAGAAACAATGAATCATCTTTTGAAAGGACCTTTCTGTGTCCATCCGAAAACTGGTAAAATATCTGTTCCATTCTCTATCTCTACAGTGGATGAATTTTCAACTGATAATGTTCCAACGATTGAAATTCTTACTGAGGAGATGACGAAGATCGATTTAGAAGAAGGCGAATCGGTGGAGAATATAAACGCAGAAAGAAAAAATTACAAGACTAGTCTAGATCCAGCCCTGACTGTATTTCGAGAATTTATTTCTAATTTAGAGTATGATAAGTGATATAATTGTAGGATTTCTTGAAAAGACAACACATACTTACGAGTTTCCAAGTACAATTTACATAATTATTTCATTTTTGTTAATATTAAAAATTATATTCATGTTTCGTTGAATAAAATGTATTATAAATATAAACTTGAATAAACTTTTCTACATAATATCGACTATACCTGTCCCACAAACCGGTGGCTGATTTCATAGGTTGGACAACGTTCGCGTCTTTATTGTCACGATTGTCACTGTCAGTCATCGTGAATGCTGGTCCTACTTTAAATTCTTATATAATTGCTAAACAAGTGAAACGTGCTGTTTTACATTTCTTAAATGTGAACGTTTTATTTTTAAGTGTCGTAGTGTCACGGATGTTTTTTATCGCTTGCCCAGCTGGGTCGATGATGCACGAGTTAAACATAGTACTTCGTAATTGTGATCATGATCAGATGGAAAACACGAAGTATAATATTTTTAATTCACTGACCGGCGAATATTTAACAAGCTGTGTGAAATGTCATTAAAAGGTCTGCGATTCGAGTAACTTACGAGAGAGATGTGAAAACAACATTTAATCTTAATCGACCAAATTTCGCGTATAATATGAGGGATGGAGCATTCCATATCCCACGTTTGACAAATCGATGCAGCATTTTTCAATGAGATAAACTGCAAAGTTGCTTGCATTAATCGTAATCTTGATTAATCACGGGCGAACAAACGAAAAATAAAAAATGCTCCCTCGAGTCTCACTTATGTGCTCGTAAAACTTGATACATGATACTTTACTTAAATATTTGTTACCAAAAATGGAAGTTGTTTGGAAGAGTATAAAATTTAAATATATATTCGCCTGTATTTTAATCACATTCGTTATTTCATGCTTGATAAGTATTGCTCCAATGAGTATTGGTAAGTGTTTAAAAATTCTTAGTACTCATCAGCTGTGAACTGTCATATTCCACACCTAAGGAATTATATTCCATTTATTTCAGATGATTGTAAATGTGAATTAAATACTCAAGAGAATAATGTTCATAAAGTTCATAAGAAATCCTTACATCGTTTAGCTGTACTTGTGCCATTTAGAGATCGTTTCGAGGAACTACTTATATTTGCTCCACACATGAAAAAGTTTTTAGATAAGCAAAATATAGATTATCATATATTTATACTCAATCAGGTATCTTTCATAAGAATACATTTACATGTATGTACCATTTAAATTTCTAACTAATATCATTCTATTTTTGTTTAGGTTGATAGGTTTAGATTCAATAGGGCCTCTCTTATAAATGTAGGCTTCCTGAAAGTTAAGAAGGAGTTCGATTATGTGGCTATACATGATGTAGACTTATTGCCCATGAACGACGAATTAATATATTCTTTCCCTGACAAAAGCCCTTACCATGTATCTTCTCCAGAGTTACATCCTAGATATCATTATCCAACATTTGTTGGTGGAATATTACTTATTAAAAGGTGTGTATTGAATTTATGAAACTTAGTCAGGATTGATAAGTGTAAATAAGATACTTTCTCTCCAGAGAACATTTTATAAAAGTAGATGGTATGTCTAACAAATATTGGGGATGGGGTCTTGAGGATGACGAATTCTATGTTAGACTGAAAGAAGCTGGGCTAAGCATTGTAAGACCACAGAATGTGTCCACTGGAACGCATAACACGTTCAAGTAAGATCTACTGCGAACTACTTATTCACTCAAATCTAAATCAGTTCATAAATGAATCGCTCTGTTATAACTGTTTCAGGCACATACACGATAGAAATTATAGAAAGAGGGATATGGTAAAATGTTATAATCAACGCGAAGTTACTAGGAAACGAGATCGTCAAACGGGATTACATAACGTTGCTTATAAAGAATTAGGTGTAATTAAAATGACTATCGAGGACACTCCGCTGACCGTCCTTAATATTTCTCTGATGTGTGATAAAACGAGTACACCTTGGTGCGATTGTGATAAAGTTGTTGGCTCTAAAGACGGCAAGTCGAAGGAAAAAAAAGTCAATAAATCTGCCACTGGATTGTAATTATTCTAATAAAAAATGTATAAAAAAGAAATGTATTGGCCTCTACTTTATACGATTTACCCATGCTCTTTAATTCCCCACTGAGATACGAATAGTATTAAGAAAAAATAGATTGTTGTCCAAGAACAGTGATTTAATCCTATACTCAATAATTCTTTCTGGTCTCTTATATTATACATATAATAATGTTTGTACATGTATTTACAATTTAGGGGGAGAGGACTTAAGATATATAAATATAATTATTCAGAGCACAATAATATTGTACAATTGATAAGGTGATATTGTACAAGAAGGGTAGGTAGAAGTCTTATCTAAGTATTTATTATTTCGATATTATAATTTTTAAGTTATAAAAAAAATGAATAGCCGCTTGAAGTACAAAATTATGGCTACATAACTGCATTTAATTGCAGAATAAAATGTTCTCTGAGCTCGTTTGTACCGAAATCATCGCCTTCATTATTCTCATCAAAAATGTCTTGGACAGTACCTGTCACAGTTTCTGCACCTTCGTATTCTGTCCCTTTTTCTCTGTTCTTTTCATCTATTTCATGTTCATTAGTCGCATCATACGCTTTGTCTGTCTTAACAGTTAACTTTGTAGAATTTTGTACCTCGTCTACATCACTGTTGTTAAGATCGGTAAAATCTTCATTGAGAGTTTCTCCCTTTAGAGCTGTTAACGGTGGCAACGGAAACCCGTAAGAAAGTAATTTTTCATAGCCATCTTTTCCACAAACTTTTCTAATATCTGCTGCTGTAACTAAAACCTTTTCTGAAAACTCTTGTTTAGAATTATCTATTAACATCTCATTGAATCTACTCATCTTCTCGTCCAAAAGCTTTCTCCTTCTCAAAGTAGTTTGCATGTTCAGCATTTTCCTTCTATACGTATTCGTATTCTTCTCTGCCCTCTCGAGATATTTAGAAGCTTTCTCTAATTTCCAATTGAGCTCTTTTATGCAATTCTCTTTTTGTTTTATTTCTCCTTCTAGCTTCCTCTTTTGCTGAGATTCAAGTGTGACAGTCTTCATTAATTTCTTATTCACTTCTTCAAGATAACTCACTCTGTTCGATAAATCATCTATCAATCTTTGTTTGCTCTCTAAGTTTCTTCTACCGAGAAGACTAGTAGTTTGCACGTTACTCAATTTTGTGTTCACCTTTGAGGCTTCCATTTCACGTTCGCTAAGTTTATTTCTCATCTCCATCTCTTTGTGAATGATCAATTGATCTGTTAATTTTTCAATTACACTCTCTTGAATTTGTATCCTTTCTAACAGATCTTCGTAATCAGAAGGAACATTCACACTGTTATTTTCAACGGAAATTTGACCATGCGTACAACTTTGGAACGGAGAATCAATTCTCATCCTATGTTTCTCGTCCTCATCGGATCCAATATGTTTCGAATCTAGAGAATCACGAGTTCGAGAAATGTTGACTGCATTTGGACTTGTAACGTCATTTTTCTCACAAGGAGAATGATCCATTGGCGATGTACTTTTCCTTGATATTAGGTAATCATCTTTTTTTATGGGACTATCGATCTCTACGAAGCTAATATCATTAGCACTTTTAGGTGATTGTATCGTTATTACAGATGTAATGAATGAATCATTTTCTTTGTACATAGAAACGGTATTGAACTTTTTACCCGCTTCTGTTCTCACTGTATTACAAGACGATAATTCTTCGATAATTTCGGTTACATCATCGGGATCCCCGGTTACCTTGATAACGAATTTAGCAGTCTCGGTTTCTGCATCATTTTTACTAGTATCGTCTGTTTTTTCGTTAATTAAAAATAATCCATTTCCAATTTCTATGTCTTGCTCGGATGAATCGTTGTCGCTAAGAGAATTAATATCTTCATCAGCAACGCTTTTAATGGATTTCTTTATTGATTTCATTATCTCCTCCCGGGTTCTCCTTTTCCGTTTCATAGCTGCTCTTATATTTGGTATAACGTGCACTTCATCTTTTGTAAAATTTTCTTCTATGTCATCGTTAAAAACTTTTTTCTTATCCTTCTCACGTTCTTCGTCATTCTCATTTGTTTTCAATGCTTTTGAGGGCACAGATGTTTTCTCGTCGCTTTCAATGCCAAAAATCGTCTCAACATTTTCTTCTTTTACCTTAATCGTATCTACAACTCCACCTACTATAGATAAATCATGACTTGCATCGACAGACACAGCGGTTTCAAGATCGTTCTTCACGGACTCGGAACTTATATCCATTTTTTCTTCCACTTCATCCTTCTTTTGGTCTTTAGTATCTACTTTCATCTTGACCTTGTTCTTGTAAGTCTCGTCTTCGGTAGATCCACCATCGCAGATTTGCTTCAACTTCTGTTCAATCTCATCGTAACTATCTTCAAACGCATTGTGATCCATCACTTCTAACTTGATTTCATCCTTCACAACTGATCCTGCTGCTTTAGGAGCTTCTGTATCCTTGACCTCTTGAGTTAAATCCACCTCCTTTTTATCATCCATTGGCGGAACTTCAAGATTACATTCTTTCACTAAGTTACTAATTTTCATATCTTCAGTAGCCATCCCGCTATTCGGTTTGCAATGAGTGCTCCCTTCCATTTCTGTTTCCACAAGCGGTTCCACAGTTCCCTGAAAATCCAAGTTTTTCTCTTCTAAATCTTCCACGCACGAATGCACACTACCATCAATCATACACCCTGCGTCGCATTCACCTTGGAACACTCTCTGGCTTTTATTATCAAACAATTTAATCTTCTTTTTAGCCGATCTCCTAGTCGACGTTATAGTGAATATGGAGGGAACTGCATTCTTTTTCAATCTAATTTTCCCGTTCGACGTTATGGACCATTCTTGTGGTTCAAAGTGGACATGACAGAGAAATGAATTGTTAGATGGTTCCCAGTCAGCTCTAGCAACGCGTTCTTGCCAAATTTTTCTCAACCTCGGATTACGTGGAAAACATTTCATAATATATCCCTTCTCACTACGATTGATGCAGCCAACTGCTGAACAGCCTGGCATATTTAGACATCCAGAAAAAATTGGGGATCCTGCAAACAACAAACAACGAAAGCGTAATGTTAAAATAACCGGTCGTTCACACTATAAATCGCTGAATCGACTTACGGCCTACGTACTACGTAGACCGATCAATTTAGAAATTCGGTGTTATGCAGTGCCAATTTTATTACGAGCAAGCAATTGCGTATCTCGAAGACGAGAATCCTTTCGTTGATTACGTACGATGCGGAGCCGAAACTCGCTCACCTCATTTACTAATTCTCTATTCAGATCCGGAGGCCATATCACAAGACACATGATTTTAGATACGCGTATAGATTTATCAGCCGTGTACGATTAATATTACAAATTCATAGATCTCGCGTAGTAAACAGGGAAGAACGAAAAGGAATCGCGTGATCTCGTCATATCGTCACAGATGATATGTTTCCCGACAAATTTCAACGATTTCAAGGTTCCTATGCAATATGGCTACCTCGAAGATCGTGCAATGAACATATGTTATTTGTTACTTCTCGTTGTTTCATTCATTTTCTTATCACTACTGTTAATCTCTATATTATCCTTATTGCATCTATGCGTTAAGTAGCTCGTAAATCGTTCGTGCATAGCTCCATTATGAAAACACACAGAAGAATAACTAGGAATTGTATAGTTTGCACATTGCCTGAGCCACCTGAACTATCGAAAATTGTGTTATATATTAATAATGCTTATTTTATGCATTCTTTATGTTATTCTTGCACATGGTACACACATGGTGCACGGTGCATACACTGTTTCGTCGTGTTTCGTGCATGCCACTTGAATTACAATTTCTTTTCTTTCTACGATTGTGCAATGACCGATATGAATAAACTTTTAAATATCAACAGAATTGTATGCGTACATTTTATCCATTTATCCTTTAATAGAGCGGCAGAGTTAATTGTTAATAGGTAAACGATGCAGAAAACGTAACGGCAAGTACGCATTAACCACAGTTCTCTGTTGTTGCATACAGTCAGTCTGAAACTGGCAATGAAACGCTTGCCTGAAAGGTTTTGAATAGACTAACTTCAGCTTCCTGGCAATTATGCATGTGTTAGTGGCTACGCACACATGCAGGGATACAATGCATGTATGTTGTATATACATATTACAGTGATGTTTTATTGAATTAAATTAGGTTTATATGACAATCTTGTACAAATATAAACAAATACGGAAAATGAAGGTACATTTTTAGTGACTTTCTTCTCAACTTCCATGTCTGCTCTTAAATCCCAGATTATATGACGCTTGGTATAAAAAAAATACTTTGTATCTTGTATGAAAAATACTTCTGGTAGGGAGCAATGTCTCATCTACCGATGTACTCCTCCATATAGTAATCGCAAATGACCAAAGTTTCGTAATTCCTGAACGAGACCTCCTGCCCCGAGATGGGTACGTAGCATGTTTGATGATTGTGTTGCACCTTCCCTACGTAATAGACACCCTCGTGTAAGACTCTCCCTATGAAAAGAACGTAATCGTCCTCGGTTTCGCCAGTGGGAAGCGCGTGCAACGGGACGCTGCCGTCCCACGATTTCACCCAGTTCACATTTTTTGCGCATAACACTTGAAAATCGTTTCTTTCATTAGAGATCCCACCCCATGGGATCATACACACGTTGTTTCGAACACTACCAGGTGTGAGAGAATTCTCGAAATTCGCGCGTCCTATGTACAAACCGTCTTCAGAAGCCTTTGTGGCGTTCTGTGGAAGACCGCACGATGCGTTAAAGTCTACCCAGAAATTAGACGTATCTACTATTTGCTGCCGAAGGGCTGTGGATGTACTGTACGATTCTAAAAAGGAAATGAATGCTTCAAATCCAAATGACCTATCTTCGAGTATCTTTTTCCAAGATGATTCAGAATACCTTGAAACAGGAATTCACCAGTAGCACCCCAGGCCGTGCCTAAACCTATATAGTTTATGACAAATGGATTTCTATCTTTATATGACAAAAATACACCCATGTTTTCACGTCCAACATTCAGTGTCCCATCAGACCGCCATCTAATAATATTGTACTCTTCGTTAGACTTAGATGTTCATTTCATTACATCACGAGCTTCAATTCCTTACTGTATCCAAAAATGACAAGTAAACATAACGTCTAATATGTTTCTCGTTTCTGCTTCTGCTACATTGAGATCCTCGTTGTTCCTTCTTATCACTGACATCCTATTACCCCAGCCACCAATGATGATCTTCAGCACAGAAATAGGCAAAGAATATGTACTTTTATGTATCAGTTGTTAGGTGTCCATGAAGTATACCTCGTATTCATTAGAATCTCCGCCCAAGTGTGTACGTAAAGAAATTCTTGCATCGTGAGGAGCTTTTATGTCTAGTTTAAGACGAGACCTTGTCATGGGGAAGTAACGATACTCCAAACTATCCGGTGTTTTAATTCTCACTAAAAACCATAATGAACTAGACTTTCACATGGGAATGGTTCTGAATTTTTCAATAAACACTTCTTTATAGGGTCATACACATCTGGGTCACATCTTAATGTCTACAATCTTGTCAATTATGTACTTACTGTAAGACATGATTATTATTACGATCCTGAGAATAATTTTACTTTATCGTGTTTGATAAGAGGAGGCTACAAGTACACGTGACTGAGGTTCTCCAGGATTTCATCAGACCCTCCATATGACCTCAAGTAAAAGTACAATTTGTCACATTTTCGTTGACGACAGACAGTCTTACTCTTACTCATCATAACTCATTAACGCACGCATACGAGTGCACCAAACGTGTTGTAGTGTAGGTTGTGTGTAGGATCGAACCTCTCAGTGCACGATGCTCATGCGCGGTGTGTATGATAATTTCATTGGCATGGATTCAGTTTTGACAGCGGGAAAACAAGAGGATGGTATTTTTCCCTTTTTGATCTTTATAGGATCTTATACAGCGATTGAAGATATCTATGTCAGGTGGTCGATACAACTGGTATTACCACATACCGTTACTACTTTCGCACCAGAAATTTTCACGGGTTCGAAAGTGTAACACATTTCGTCGAATATGGATAATCGAGTAGTCAATAGATTTTTATTCTCAGCGAAGCGAGATCATTTCCATGTTCCATTAGATTTCAGTCTCGTTCGCAGTTAGATTTCGAATATCTAACAGTATGTAAAACCGATAAGTATGCGACGCGACGCGCCGCGTGCGTGTCTTGCGCGGTTCATAAAACACGCGATGTTTCACATGCGACGACATCAAAGGAACGTCCGCTTGGAATTAGTTTACCGTACACTTTCCATTTTCATTTTACTTTCATCGAGTTCCTTGTTACGCGTATGCGTATTTCACTGTCAGCCTCTTGACAAAATACCAACTCGAAGTCCGATGGAGAAAGGTCATTGTCATTAACTTGTATTAAAATTCAACCGATCGACGCACGTTCCGAGCGCATACGCTTGCGTGTAAACGCGTGTGCGGAAAGTAGAAAGCATCGCAAAAGATAATGACAAGGATGCAGCGGTGACATTCCGGTTTTCATGTCAGAACGCAGCGTGCGTTCGTTTCCACCGATCTACATCCACTGCCTCATAACTTTTGGGTCACGGGGCTTCGCGTTCCCAACAGATCGTCCAAAATTCCGATTAACGATTGTCCGTGATGTTTGCCAATTAATAGAATATATTCAAGCACGGGAGAAAGTCTGTTTGCGAAGCACGTTTGCATAATAATGGAGCCAGTGAGAGGATCAATCGCCCCATCAAAGACAAATCAATCTATGCTATCTTCTTTCTTTAACGTGACTCGCTTCTCAACTTCGACGCGCATACAATCTTGCCTCTCTGTAATTAGTCAAGCGAATCACAAATTTCCCACTTTTCTTTATAATATCTTTCAGTCAGATCGGTCAACTCGAAATCGTCGACCAGGATCCGTGGGTGCCCTCGAAGGGTAACTTTCTACGAAAGGCGATTGGCATTCAAGGAACTCGTGCGTTTATGCGAAATGTTAAAACGTGCTCGACACTTTTTCCGAATTTCAGAAGTATTTTTACGCTTGTACAATTTGGAATGTGACCCGCGATCCTCTTCCGTATCCTCCTTTTGCAAGTTTCTTGTGCAACGGTTATTCAACTTTATTCATGTATCGTTGAATGCAGTTTCACGCGCTACTTGTCAAGCAGTTCTTTATTTATGTCACAAAATTTGCATAGAACAAGGCTTGCAACGCAAAGAATATTTAAAAAGAATAAGTATCGGCGATATCAAATACTCGGTTCGACTAGAAAGAAAAAGTCTGAGCCGCATGATAATTAAATTGCGAGCTATCATTAGTTGGAATAATAGTACTCGCAATGTGGAAGACGTAACGCGGTTTCCTTTCTCGCCGGAGGAAAGTTATTCACGTACCGTAACAAAATATCTGTTAACCTTGGCAATGCATAGAAATCGGGGCAAGGCAAATTTTACGAAAGTCCGCGATCCACTGACTGCCTCTCGATCGAGCTAATTAAGCCGAAGACACGAGAACCGCAATCACATGCGAGCCGGCGACTCGTTAATACTAACTGGCCAACATAAGCGAAATCGTTATAAGATGAACTAAGCGAACAACCTGTATCGGGACCAAGAAAAATGTTCTGATTACGATTCCAGTTTTCGCGCGTAAAAGGAGATTCGAACCGCTGGTTAGAATTTCATTGCATTCAGTTCACCATATCATTTTTAGTTTCGAATCGATTCCCGTTCTAATGAAATACGCTCGACTCGTTTGTTCCGAGCAACCGAGCGAGGGGTTCTGTGAAAGGGACACTTTTCTATTAAAAAGTCTAATTGCGCTAGGTAGGTCATGCTCCTCATAGTTCACTGAATAGCCAGTCGCACGTGAACTGACCCATTGCTTTCCCCGTAAAAGTGAAGAGTTAAATCAGGTTGACTCTTTCTCCCTGCTCTGTATGGTCGGGTACCAACCAATGTCCTATCAGTATGTGCACATCAAGATCGCTTTTACCTTTTTGTCAGCGAGGAGGGATTCCTAGGAGTATAAAACGGTAAGGAGCCGTTTCACGTGTCAGTATGTGTGTAGTTTCAATTTACCTGAGAAGCTCGGGCGAATTTAGTTAATCGCTACCGTTTTCGAACTATCCCTTTGTCATGGCGAAAATCATTTCGCTTGTGAGTACCTGCTATATTAATACAAATTGGAATTAAAAGAATTCATCTGAAGTCTGCCCTTATGTATATATTACACAAAATCAATTATTATAGTTGCAAAGTGATCGTTAATTTATCGTGAAACTGTTCTATTTTTAGAGTGCGGTAATCCTAGGCTGCATCTTGCTGAGTCGCGCGGAACCAACAGTTAATGGTACGTACCTTTCCTTTTGAATTTCTTTCAAAGTACAGATCATTGGTAAGAATGCTTTATAGCTGGATATACTATCGGCGGGGAGGACAATGGTTTCACGTACAGCAGCAACATTATCAACAGCGCGTATCTACCTGGCGCAGGGAAAGAAAGTCAGAGAGAAACCAGCGATTTTTATAGCGGCGGAACTGGACACTCATTGACCGGTGTGAGAAGTCAAGGAAACCTCGAAGAAAGTCTAAGGAGCAGCACTTATAACGGATTTTCACCTAGTTCCCACAACACCGGCTTCACTGGATACTCCACTGCCGGACGAGAGAATCTCGGCACGAGTTCTTACTTCATGAACAACGCGGCCCAATCTGGTTATGATAACTACGCGAGCAGCAGCAGCAACGTGGACTCCACGTTAGATACTTACACCCAAGGCAGCGACCAGCCGGAATCCGACTTCAGCCAATTTTCGATCACCAAGCACAAGACCCCATCGTACATGAGATTTTCTGACAGCTTACCTGGAACGTCCAGTATCGGAAGTTACCCAGAACTGAACATGGAAGGATCTTCTTTAAGAGGAGAATATTCCCCCGACAGCTTCAGGAGTCATTCGTCTCATTCTTCGGGATTCATGGATGCCGATCAAACCTTCAACAGGGATGCTACCAGCCTCTTCAGCACTCCCAGCAGCGATTACTCTTTCGGAAAACACAAGGAACCCGCGTTCGCGATGACCGGCACTAACAAATACACGAGCGAGGTGTATTCTCCTCATCCGGATTCTCGATACGTGCGAGGAAACCACGGGAATGTTCGCGACTACGCTTCGACCATGGCACTTTTGGCTAATTCCGGTAGCACTCCGTTCAGAGGATCCTCTGGCATTTACGGCACCGGGAAATTCAGCAAATACAACAAATACGCGAGCGACTATGCTCCCGGCACGGGTTTAAACTATCTCTCGAAAGATCAAGACGTTGACAATTATTTTTTCGGTAAGAACACCGGCAGCGGGAAACTGACTGCGATTAAAGATGGCAGGCCGGGCAGTTACAGTAGTCAGTCGCCGTACCCCGTCCCCGGCGGACCTTCCTATCTCGGTAAGCTCATCGGAGGTTACAAAAGCAAGCCAAGTTTCGTAAGTTCATATCCTGGAAGTTCTCCGGTTAGTTATTCGTCAATGCCTAGCAGTTTGCACGGTAGTTTGAGTGGTAGCAATTATGGCGAGAATCCTTTGATGAGAAGATACCGAAGTAGTAGTTACGGTTACGGACATCCTAGTATGTACCCTGGTTATTACTGACGACGAGCTTGAAGTGTGAAGCGTTACGGTATGTTTTGTACATATTTATTGTATTTAATTATTAAGTATATTATTGTTTATTATATTCGTTTTTCTAAAATAAAACTACGGTAATCGTATACACGGGCTCGTTCTCCATCATGGCGGGGTTCGTGCAAGCTTCGGCTTTGCGACAAATGCGTCTTCCGTCTCGAGTCTTGTTTCTTTAGAACCATTTTCGTTATTGTCAATGTGCCTATAAAGAAAATTGCTATTCTAGACAATAACAAACCCAGTAGTAGTACGCAAAATAAAAAATTTATTCAAATTCGTTGTGCACACGAAATTGCGAGTGTAGTATAAAAATACAGGATCGTGCTGGACTGTGTGACAAACGAATTCGTAAGGTGCATTAGTGCACTTTGTATTGCATAGTAGTTTCGACTCACAGTGACGCTATACTGCTCAGTTTCTCCATTACTGGAAAAAAGGAAAAGAACGTACGTATACCAGGCTTGTCTTCTTTCATACGTAATTATATGTTCAATAAGTATCATTCGTTCGAGATTTCATTACTTTCATTTTCGTGCTCCAATTTTCCCGAGGTCGCGATTAAGTGCACGTTTAAGAGAAAGTTATAGAGATTTCACTACGCGATGCTTACAATATATTTTACTTGCCACGACTATTAGAAGTTTAGAAACTTCTGTCCAGTTAATTGATCATCATCTTTTTCTCTCTTTACTAAGAGTGAACTCGATAAAATGAATACTAACCAGTTGATTCGGCTTCGCTTCCGATTTCTAAGAGCATCGAGGATACCATTGTCGTTTTGCTACTGGCCCTGTAAAAGATTCATTAAAACGATTCGCAACGGATTGTTCTAACTCGATTGAATATAACGAACTTAGAAGTATGGTTTTCATAGATATAAGTCGCGCTCTCGTAAGATTCTTCTGTGGGAACTTTATCCTCTCTCAATTTCCATTTTTCGTTTACAACTTGACGCTTCGAATCTTTCCGATCCTTTAAACGCATCGAATTTTTACTTGAAGTAATTTTTTGCGGAATTTTTAATTAATCGTTAAATACCTTAGGAACAACCGAAGAGCTACTTAATTCAATCACACGCGACTCTGTCTTTGGATGCGATACGATCTTTTTTACCATACTTTGCACTACCATAATGTTATTTTTATTTTTCGAATCACGCCTTTTACTTGCCAATTTTCTTGGGATAGGGGAGTAATTATCAGTGAATAAAATAAACCAGATTTTCTTTCACACATAATGTAATACCTTTGGAAAACTTTTTCGTGCGTCACTGACTCGCAACTCAAATCTTTCGTTTGATCGTTTTGCGCTGACGTCTCTGTCATTTCTGTTCTATAAAGTGGAAACATCGATGCATCTGGAATCACTTCTTTCTTCTGAATTGTTTTCGGTAAAATCGTGTAACAGGACTCCAACAATAATTCTCCGCACAACTCTCCGTAATTATTCTTTACCGGATCGTTCTCTTCTAACTGGCTTTCCAGTACATCGAACTCGTCCTGGAAAAGTTGATTTTCCTTTTCTTGTTCAATCATAAAACACTTACTAGAAACAATTGCTTACGTTATCGTTATCAGTCATTTCATCGTCCTCAGTTTTAATAATGATCTCACCCGTGTGTATTTTCAATATGTGTTCCAAATGTTTCCTATCGTTCAAAGATTTTTATGTAAAACAGGAATCCTATGTCTATAATGCATTAAGAAATATTTTACCTAATTTCACCAGATTTATATTTACTGTATTGTTCTACCACAGACGAAAGTTTCATTTTTTTCGCCTCATCGTTGATCGTGTGATTCATTAAGAAATTAGTTAAAGCCCCATTAATGTACGGCAATGCCTAAGAAATACATGTTTATAAATAATTTCCAATTATGAAAACTATAGAATTATTTATACCGATGCATGATCCATTAAGAGTAACTCGATTAACGTTGGGATGAGTAATGAGGCCATCGCTGACGCTCTTTTCTTCGCTGACTTGTGTAACGATAAATTCATTAGGAGGGCTGTAGCGTATTCTAATCGATAAGAATCCATGACACGACACTGATCGTGCAGATGATGAATCAACCATTCTACTAATCCGTTCTCGATCATGTAAATCCTCTGCTGTTTGCGTAACGATAATTTTTGGAGCATCGCGATCATCATGTTGCAAGTTAAAGTGTCGATGTTATTATCGCTGACACTGTTTAAACACTTGAACACCTACGATAGTTCTTTTAAGTTTTTAACGGGATTCATAAAGAAGAAAAAATTTATTTGGCTTAGTACCATGTCGACGACTGTAGAGTCGAAGGACAGATAATCCCTCCCGCATCTAAAAGATGCTAAAGCGTTCAGCAATCTCATAATCGATTGTTGCAAGGGATGCGGTATGATAAAGTTTTGCGGAGTTAATAGATGCGGCAGGATGGATTTCCCTTTGTAGCTAGCTATTTGACTGTGAAGTCCTAGCAAGTCTTTGCTTATGTACTCGTGCACCGTTTCATCTCTCTCTTCGGGTTGGCTAAACGTTATTTTCTGAAAACGCGCTATCGGTAATGAAAGTCCACTGGATCGTTTAAATTCTACTGTCTTACCCTTCGTAACGCTTGCAAAAGGAATAATTTTGTTTTTATATTGCCGTTAATTAAATGCAATTTTATTTTCTTGAAATCTAATAACTTCGGGGAGATAGACGTCGTATATGATGGGGAATATTGTTTCGACATATTGGAACGTGATTTATCTAACAGTAATTCCGAAGAACACTGTAAATGTAATATACATACACAGTGAATAAAGAAACATTTAGAATAAAAATTGATGCAATAGCAAGTGGATGAAATGTGCATACATGTGAATTGTCTTTTATATTTTGATTGAACAAGTCTGGAAAGATTTTAATGCAAGTTTCTAACATCGCTTGAAAATCAACAGCTTGCCCTTTCACTGAATTTTCCAGTGCATTGGTCAAGACTCTTGCGATACTCATCAGCTTATGATAATCAGTGTGCAGCTTATGGAACCTCGTTTTCAATTTCTCATAGTTGGAATGAACGCTACACAAATGAGACTTTGCTACTGCTAAGTCTTGGGTGCATTGCATTAGTTTCTTATTTTTCTTAGTGAATTGTGATGAATACACTTCTTCTTCTGAAGAATTTACTGATACAGTTTGTATACTTCTATAGGAAGACAGATGAGAAAAATGATTATGTTTAAAGTAAAGGATATTACGTTCACATTTAAGCTCACTTTGATTTTTGTGTGTATTTTGCTTCGTCGCACAAATTGCATTGATCTTCGGTGTCTGCATCTTCTAGAAAGATTGGAACGTTTCTATCATTTGGTATGATTGGTCTAATTATCTTTTTCGTGTCTTTCTTTAGACCCTCTGATAGAGTTGTGTAATTTGAACTTCCATCGATAGATCTTGTGTCATTAAAACGCTTAAAAGTGCAGAAGCTTTATGAACATCCTCTTTTAATATCTTACCATATCTTTGCTTCTGTTCCACTTACTTGTTGCCTGTACGTTTTAAGAAAGAGCACCAAGTTTTCTGTCAGTTTGTCTGACCAGCTCTTTTCAAATATTCTGGAAAGAAATGGTTCTGCTTGTGGGTCCTCAATGAATGGTAGTGCAAAGTAAGGTCTCAGCTCAGCGTCATTCTCTAACTCTTTGCCTACTGTACTCAGGAATTTCCGTAACTGTTCCATACCCTCGTTCACAGTCTTCTGTACTTCGGTTATAAAATTCTATACATTGGCAATGCCAAGTTAATCACTTCTGGAATTATGTTATTTTAACGATTCAATTGAGTTTACCTCTTCGTACTCGACATCTTGTGTTGTCACAGAATCAGCCTCATCTGAATGTGCTTTATCTAAACAATTCCAAGAAATGAGAATCGCTGTACATCATAAGAGTGTTATTTATGTATTGTCACATGTACCATTCTTTCTATACCAATCTGATATTGATACGCGTTTAGGGAACGTCGCAAAGCACACGTGTAAATGTAACATCAAAGTTTTCCAAGCTTTTGTTTGCTTGGCATCTTCAGGTACCAAGAGGTTCCATAACTAGAAACCAGATATTTGTAGAATTTATCATTTTCATATTGTTAGTATGAAACGTGATTTGATTTCCTACTTTAAAAAATGTTCGCCAGTCTCCAGTTTCATAGCTCGACATTAATTGTTCATAATAATTTTCATAAATCCCATCTTCGGACTTGGAGTCTTCTTTAAAATCTTTGAAACCTTTTATAGTTGCTTCTACCATCAATGCATCGGCCGTATTTTCGAAATTGTGTTCTATCAGGAACTGCAGAATTTTTTATCTATATCATCGATAAGTACGATAACAATATTGTTCGTATTAATAACGGAATAGGGGATTATACCTGATGAACAAGTCTCAAGCTCTTAGTACCCATCTGTTCTATTGTCTGATTCTCATCCATTTTTCTTCGTTACTTGTTTAAATGATCAAGGAAGAAATTGACATAATGAGGAGTAAAGTTTTATTGAGGAAAGGTTGCTATGATCGAGGGCTTCGGTTTTACATACAGTCGCGTGAAGGATATTCCCTTCCATAAAATTGATTTTTTACGCAAATGCATCTCTATACAGTTCGCACGGTTTGCATTTACATATTCACCGAGTTGTTTATTTAATAGACACCGTAGTCAACATATAAAATTGTATTCCGGCGAAGACAAAGATTACTCGCAATTTATTATTAAACTAAGCACAATATTAACAAGATATAAAACACATAACTTAATTACTATATTATCATTACTACTAGAGAAGGGAATACATGAAGTTTCACAAATCTAAGAACAAAAGCTTTTCGATTAATCATACATTTATTATTTGATTTGCAAATACATGTGCATATCAAAAGTTTGAAGTTTGAACGTATGTATACATAATCATACGGTCATACTATATACGTAGCATTCGAAAATACTTTTACAAGTAATCAAAAGCATTTTATTATTTCATTCAGAGAATATTTTATTGTCTTGAAAAATGGAAGAGCAGAAAAGGATTTTTCATGACAATGTGATTCAAGGGGTTTGTTTTAATATAAACTTTATTTATCAAGTTCTCGGTGTCAAGGGTTATGTTTATAACCCATATAGATCTCGTATTTTCGTAGATACCTGATTTAGCTATCTACATACCGAGTTTTATTACACAAGAAGAAGAAAGTGAAATTATAAAATATGTTAATAGTGCACCACTTCCAAAGTGGACGCAATTAAGTCATCGTAGATTACAGAATTGGGGTGGTGTTCCACACACAAAAGGTATGATAGCAGAAGAAATACCGAATGTAAGTGCTTTAGAGTAATTGAAAGAAATGTCAAAAATAAATAAGAAAATGAATTATTGCTACCAACGACAAGTTTTCAGTGGCTTCAAAAGTATATCGATAAGGTTCTATCTTGCAATGTATTCGAGGAAGGAAAGTTCGCCAATCATGTTTTAATTAATGAATATTTACCTGGTCAAGGAATAATGGTATAATTGTAATACGAAAAGTAGTTTTACATTCCCCAAACTTGTAGGAAACACAGTGTATGTTTTTTTAGCCACATTCGGATGGCCCACTCTTTCATCCCATTGTAACAACGATCAGTTGTGGTTCTCACACCGTGTTAGACTTTTATAAACAATTGGACAGCTCAGAGGTATTACAATAGTAATTAAACAATTAATCACGTGTACATATCACCTAAACTTCTGTTTCAGCAACATGATTCAAATCTAGAATTTGGCCTACTTCTGGAACGCAGAAGCTTATTTATTCTGCAAGGAGATTTGTACCATAATTATTTGCATTCCATTGCAGAAAGAGACACAGATGTTGTTTCAAGATCTGTGATAAAGAATTTGCATTTATGCAGGGAACAATTTGTGGAAGGAGAAACATTGAAAAGGGGGACTAGAATATCTTTAACTATTAGACACGTTCCGAAAACTACGAAATTAAAGTTAAGAATAGGTTGATATATGTTCGTGAATATAAACGATTTATTATTTTGGAGGTTTAAAGTAATAAATAAGTACTTTCTATCGTTTAATGTACATAAAATTGTACAATAAGCATTTATAAAATAATCTTAGCTAAACATCGGACGAAAGTGTCATACAATTTTTATCTTCATAATTCTCTAAGCTCACATTCATCATTTCTTCGTCACACTCGTCCAACATTCCCTGTAGGGAATGTATGGAAGATATTAAAACATGAAACTGTTTACGTCTCATTCCTAATTTCTGTTCCAATTGTTCAGACTTCTCCTTCAGCTTGCCCAACTCTTCCCGCAATGTAGCAAGTTTCAAATTGGTTTCTACCCTGTCTGGTTGTTCATTTATGACTTTTGCTAAGACATCGTATTCAATTCTATTTTTTCTAACTCGCTTTGCATCCTGCAGCTCTGCTTTTGTTGTCTCTATATCCTTCTTAGCTTCTTCTATTTGAATTTCAATTTCCTTGGATAGGTTTTCATAGCTCTTCAGTTCCTCTTGGCTCATGTTGGAAACGAGTCTGGACTTCCTCTGAGCAAATTCGCATTGTGATAGCTGGGACAGCATTCTTTCATGTAGAGTATTATCAACGTCTGGATTATTTGCCCATTTTATAAATGATTTTAAAAGTATATTTATCCGACGATCATCTCCAGTACCATCTCCGTCTATCAATAATCTTCGACGGATTACTTCCTCTATAAAAATAAATTTATGTCATATTATAAACTGTATAAAGAAAGCATTATTCGATAAGTTGAATTAATGAATCTTTCAGTGAACAATTTAAACGAAAGCAAAGACTGCAAGAGGTTATATTTACACGATCGAGATTTACTTACCATCCGACATTTTTAATACAGGAGGAGATACACGAATATAATAAACAATAATATTTTATTTTAATGTTACAATTCATTCGTTTCCTTAATAGAATTATTGATTAATTAAGCAGTATACTTTGAACTCGCCGCATTGTTGACAGGAGGCGTAAGGAACGTGCTGCCATCTGCGACAGTAGATATTATTTAAACTTTTAAAAGTTTACATAATGTCTATGTCAAATGAAAATATTTTATTTACAGTGTAAATACTTTAAAGCTGGCATCGCGTTTATAATTTTATTCGATGTTTTAATTGCGTCGCCTAATTTAATGAACATTAGCGATAAGAAAAAATTAAGTGAACGGATAGAACGCACTCCGGTTCGAATATTAAAATGATCCGCCATTATTTTAATAAACCTGTCTTCTTTGTTCTCATCAGGAACTATTTTCATACCGCTCGAAGATTTTCGAGGCAGCAGTCGCAGATGTCACTGTACCCCTAATGAGCGCGCTATTTTTCACCGGCATTTTTATCCCGTTTATTGGCTGCCCGTTTCACAAACTGTCAGCCGGATATTAATCATTCCACTGTTACGGCTCTGGCTTTATTTCTTCTAAGGATAAAGAATGAAAGGGTCGGTGGAGAGGAGGGACGGAAGGAAGGAGAACTCGTGTTCCTTTATTAGCAAGTAAGTAGTATGAGAATGTCTAATACGCGAAATTTTATTCCACTGAGCGACCTGGCTTTTTCACTGGTGAGTTTTTACCATTATTTATCATATCTGTGTACCTATTTCCATAAATGTATTTAGTAAATTGTACGGTTAATCAGTTCTTTTGGGTGGGAAATGGATTTTATAATTATAGTACTGTAGACAATTGTACGTGGAAATCTTCTGTCGTATGACGAGACGTAAGCTCGCATGTCATTGCTACGTGTATTGTAATTTGTGTTTCTCCCGCAAACTTGCAGTATTTATTGTGGTAACGTTTGTTTTTCGTTACCTTTTATTAAAAATGATTAACGATTCGTGGACAAGATATATTGGAAGAATTGATTCCTGCCACGCTAGTTGTAACAGCGGAATTTATAGTGCGTACACGCGCGATAAAATTGAGGTACTGACGAATATAATATAATTGAAATAATAAATAGGACAATTATTATCGGCGTAGTTAGTATTGAATGAGTAGGGAAGGTGCTAATAAAATTGAGGGACGGGCTAATGCATCTCGATTATCTCTGATAGCGGAATGAAACTGCGCGGAGTTCCATCGAACGTTTCTTTCATTCCTATCGATTCCATAAAAGTCCCAATAATAATTTCTGATGTTTTCCGATGCAACATGTTTGATTTAGTGTCGGACATTTTGTGATCGCATATCTGCCTCGTAAATCTCCCCGCGGTGGCGCCACTGCATAAAAATATCAAACGTCGATGTGTCCCGCGTTCAACCCCAATCCCACGTAAAATATTGCCCGTGATTCCGCGCGACGGAAATAGCCTTTCATTCCGGCTGCCTGATAATTCCAGAATTTCACGATTTATACCCCGAAAGGTTATAAAAGATATGCCCGATCGCGTGTTATTATTAATTGCTGCGCGCCACGATAAAGTGAAACGTTTAGTTTTAAAAAATGCCCTCAAACGAATATCGGAGGACTGGCGGCGCGGCGCGACGCGTCGCCGCGAAATATACGGTAAGATTATTCGGTCAGATTAATCGGTATTCAAATTGAAAACGGTCCGTAGAGGAAGCAGAAAATAAAACTTCCACGGCCATCAACGTCTCTATCGTGTATTCTAATTACGCGCACCGAAACCATTTTGGCGTTTGCCTGTCTTCCCTGATCCGCCGAATCAAACTTTTTCACGATAAACCTTGACAAGCTAAAATACGTGTTTCACGTTCATTATAAAATTCATTGTTCCTCGAATCGAAACTTCAATGTTAAAAAACGTATTGCATAGGCAACGAGACGTTGCTTGGTAAACGTATACTTGTACAAGTAGTTAATTGATATAAATCGTATCTACCACGCAAAGCAATGGAGCCTCCTTTCTCTATCACTGGGAGTGGAAGTTTATTAAGTTACATATTCAATCGAAGAACGTGTTTGATCATCATCTAATATTCGTAACACAATCTCCAGGGCTGAAGTATACTTCGGCCTTCTCGTTCATCGAACGAAGCACTTGTCTAATAATCATTAAATGAAACTCGTGTCTCTCTCTTTATTCTGGATGCACGACGGGTTGAAATAATAAGTAACGATGTTAATAAATAGAGGAGTCTGCATCGCGTAAATAGGGAATTGCAGAGTAGAGGACCCTCGGTCGGTTGAATCAGGGGTCGCGCATGAAAACGGCTGTGCGCGTATATATACTAATCGTACCGGAAAGGGTGCCGTGAGTTATGAGTGCTCTATGATATCAATGCATCAATTTGACTAAACGAAGGATTAATTTAATAACAAGTCAGCGGATGAGTAGTCGAATGATAAATAGAGAAGGGGGACTGGCGTGCCACGTTCAGAGGGGAGGGTAGCGTAAACCAATCGTGTTCTCTTTTCTTTTATTTTAATACATCCCGAAATCACCCCGACCAGTGTATTTTCTTATTTTAATACGGTATTCGTCCAGTGGTGTTACCACGGAGAAAATGTAATTCTTCAATTTGCGAAACTAATGCAGTTAACTAAGAATAGTTAGGGTGTACGAGGATCAGAGGGGAAATCCCCTCGTTCAGAAACGAAATCCGGTCAAGCCGATGGTTCGATACCGTCGTAATCTCTGTTATTATTGTATTGTCAATCATACACTGAGAAGCTGTACTAAAGTATCAAAGGCTTTCAAACTCCAAAGAGAACGAGCAAAAAATCCTTCTTACGTTCTCTTCAAGGTATTATCATACTCCTGTTGAATGTTCTTCCAGCGGCGTTTACAGGGAGTGAAATGAAACGGGGCCCGTTCGTGTCTCCCATTCGCGCGGACGTTAGCGTTACTCAAAATTGTACCTACGTGGATTTGCCCGTCTTCCACGGATGTCGTTCGCCCCCGGGTTCAGCCCCCGCCCTCTTTTCAACCCCATCGTGTTTCGTTCCCGGCGCCGATTTAATCCGGGATTCAGCACTCGATTTGATACGTTACACAGCGGTTTGTATGCCCTAACTCGCCTTACTCAACACGGTACACCCTGTTCGTATTACTGCTCCTACGACCCGCCCATACTAGATCGCTTCATTTTGTTTCACCCTCGCTTCTCTCATTATCTCGTGCAACCGCTTCCCGCCACCCTCTGTTCTCTCCTTTCCCGATGTCTTCTTCTCTTTCTCCGTGTACCAGTTGTTTCACAACTACAGGCCTAAAGAAGGGAGCGTCGTTCGTCGCATAAAACTGTATATCCGCCTTCGTTTTAGTTTCTTGGTATCCAGGAAGATTTATGAGTGTCGTCCAATTTTTATAAAGAAGGCACTCGAGGCTCATCGCCATCAGAGTGCCTTCTTCATAGAAATGAACGATATTTGTTTCACACTCTTTCCTGCTTGTTTAAAATGTAAAACAGAATAGGGTACACGTTCTTTAAACGTGAAACAGAATCGTTTGTCAGATTGACTTGTCGCGAGACTCCCTATAGATTGTGCGGAACTTCGCTTCCACGCGGATTCGAACTCTCCACCCTTACATTTCTCTCGAATCCCAATTTTTCTCTTTGTCTCGTACCTCGTTCACTATCACGCTTAATGTTCGCGGCTCCTCGTTTCTCTGTCTCCCTTTCTCTCTCTCTCTCTCTCTCTCTCCCTTCGTTTCTCTCGTTCCCAATTCGCGTGTAGCAGCACACGGTTACACTACGAGGTGGTTCTTTCATCCCTTGCAATCTCCAGAGCCGAAGCCACCCTCTTCGTTCTTCCCGCCTCTTGATTTCCTCTCGCCTGTGTATTCCTCGCTCGGCACCCCAACCCCCGTTCGCATTTAAATTAGATTAGATAAGTTAATCAATGCGGTATTCGAAGTAAAACCTGGGATTTCGTGTCAGCCGCTCGTGGTCGGCGAAGAAATTATTGGCAGCGCGATCGGTCGATCTCCGTTTGGAAATCGTCGAGTCAGGGTGGATAAGTCGGGTCGCGGTTCCACAGTTGCTTCGATGACTTTTACCTTCGAAATCCTCCAGTTAGTATCGTCGCCCCTTAGCATCGAGATTGCAATCACCCCTTTGACCGAGGTTCTTTTTTCTCGTAGCCGGTGTTCCGAGTTTAACTGGCATTACATTTCGCGAAGCGATTCGAAACTTTTTAGTTAAAGGTCTCGCATAAATTAAATCGATGTAATTAGAGAGGCAACGGGCACCGATTTCTTGATGCAGCGTGACGTTAATGGACACCCGGCGAACAAACGGCGATAGGGAAATTAGTAAACTTGCTTTGTAGCCGGGAGTCGAAGAATCTATAGGTCAATACACGTTCGCATTCGAACGAGCCCCGGGAAAAACTTTTTGCCATTTTTCTTTGCACGCCTCTCGTTAAGACAATTTATATTCTATTCCGTAACACGCAGGGGCAGCAGCCGCCCACCATCTCCCTCCCCCCTTCTCTCGTTCCCAATTGGCATTGGCACCCTCTGTCACGGCGTGCCAACTTTTTTCATATTCCAATTAGTATATTTTTCATTGATTTAATGCCTGCGAGCGCAAATATTAACGGCTCAACACCACGATAAATTTGCACTGCCAATGTCTCTCTGCTTCCCACCCCCTGCGTCCCACCCTCTGCACTCTGTCGTTTCTCGACGCGCCGCGCGAGCAAGACCTGCAAGGATCTCTCTTTCTCGCCGCTAACTTTATGACTCACGAAAACTCTCGTAACATTAATCACTCGGTTATTCGTATTCGAAATCGATACCGGTCGCGAGAACGTTCGAACCTGCCTTTTCCCACCTCTATCAGTTAACTTTAGCTGCGATTTTTTATCGTTTCTAACTACCGTCATCGAACGATAAGATTTTTGCTCGCGACTCGTATTAATTTCATTTTTGAACGATCGTCGAAGACTGCCGGGGAATCCTTTGAAACAGCGTGGGAGTCGGTCGGACTTAATTGAAGTTCGATGCATTAAAAACTACGTCATTCAAATGTCTTCCTTCATGATTGATAGCCTCGATGATTTTCGTCTTCGACTTACCTTCCTCCGAGGTTCCGATCGATCTTCACTAACGATTAATTAAACATCTCGCCACCTCGTGCAAACGAAAAAAATTTCGAGGTAAAAATTGTAATACCTCGCTGGTCCTTTTTTTTTTTTAGACAGAACTTAAATACGCGTATGGAAAACTAAGGGATGAAAGAACGTACACAGTGGTTTTATAATTACCATAATACGTGTTCCATTTATTAAATTGGAGATATAATACACAAGCGATAGATAACACGTATGTATAATTTATACAATACTTTATACAGATTGTCTCTACCTCGTTCGCTTAGCAATTTATCTAAATACTGTACAGTAACACGTCGAATGCTCGAGTAAAACTAATATACCCGCGTTTTGATCGCACTCCACCCACCGTTCCCAACTTTTTAATTAAAATCAACCGTACAGACACACCGAAACTCGTAGAAGTCCGCGACTTCTGGTCCTTTGCTCCTAGCCACGTTTCCTGCGATTATACGTACATATTTAATATTTATACGTGTGTGTGTGTGTGTGTGTGTGTGTGCTTACGCTCATAATTCGTTTTGCTTGCCATTTTCTCGAGTTTAACAGGGAATACCTACTCTTTTCATTAAATACGTTAAATATCACATTCACGTTTATCGTATCTACAGAATATACAAAATTTCAATCGGTTTACTCGTTCGTCGACGCGTCAGTTCACCGGGGGACACAGACAATTTTTTCCTCAGTTGAATATCGTTCCATCCTCGTTCGTCTTGCGTTTAATTTACTCGAATATTTATATACTTGTAATCATAGCGGCGATGTAGTTAATGGGTTGTCTGATATTCAGCATACATTTACTATACACGAGTCGTTCGACCGAATACGTGCTTAGCGGCGTTTCTTTTATTATAATTAATTACTTGCAGGACCGATCGATGCTCGTCGACTTCGTTACTTCAGCGGATAATTCGTTTTCCAAATTAGACACGCGTATGACTAGAATAGAATTAAATTAAATAAAGATTCAGAGTACGTTCCCTGTCTGAACGGTTCCGGATTGCAATTTTCTCTGTAACATCAAGATCCTGCAAATAATTGCATACGTATAATTACTGTCCAGTTACAATATTATAATTTTGCTTGTAATCTCGTTAACGTACGGACTGCGCGCGGTCGTTCCATTATGCGAGTATTCTTAGTACAAATATATACAAATTACGGTAGGGCTCTGTGAACGTTGGAATCTCGGAACTGAAAGAAAAACGGGCGTTCTCCTCTTTCAAGGTTCTTTTAACGCGAGAACGGAAGTGCGAATCTCGCCGTTGCGCCGCTGAAACTCATTACCTCGTCAACTAATCAACGAACGAACTCGTCTCCCCTCCGACGAGTACATATCAATCTTTGGTTAATATCTGAATAATTAAGTCGTATACATGATTCTCCAATTTCTGATTCCTGTTACAAGTTAACACGTTTCAACGGCGCAACAGCGGACTTCGTTCATACAGACATAAATTATAGCAATCGTTCCATCCAGTCGTCAGTCTTGGCGGCATTTAGACAACGAATAATTCTACCTACTGAAACCGGGATGATATTTCTCGTTCGTAACAATTCTTCCCATCGCGCACTCGTTCACTTGTTCGCACGAGTATTGTCCTTTCAGTACCGATTTTTAATGCCTGTACTGCTGCTCGAGCTCCCTTCTGAGCCTCTTGGCGGCGGTCTCGCTGTTTCCCTCGGCTTCCGCGTCGCTGCATCCGTCCTCACCCTCGGCGACGACTCCTTCGACCTCTTCCTGCCGTCTCTTGGCCGTTGCCATCTCGGCCGCGTGCTTTTTCCGCCATTTCGTCCGCCTGTTTTGGAACCATACCTAAAAGAACAAAACGAGTTCCCTGATTGCAAACTTTTTTCCACTTTCTTTCGACCTCTAATCAAATTCACGATTGCCTCTCGAACGTCGCGTCGATATTAAGTTTGAACTTCGCGTCTGACAATCGTCATACGAGCGTGGCAGTGGTAATATTTTTCGTGCAGAAGCGAATAGCGAAGATAATTTAGCAAGGGTTGAAAAGGAAGCAGGGAATCGAGGAAAACCGGATGGATGGAGGAATCCACCTGGAAGGGAGAGCGACTTAAGGTGGTCCCGTACATCTATAAAGCTCGAAATACGCAGCAGGAGTCCGTGTCCCCACAACAATGTATTTAATTAACGTAACGGGCGTCAGGGGAGCGAGCGGGACTCGAGCGTAGCGATTGCACCCACAAACCACCCTCTATCCATAGCGGCGAGCGCCGCGTGACCCCAACTAAACTCCACCCCCGTGGGCGCCCCTCTTTTCTCGCCAATCCGCAGGCTTGTTCAATGGCCGCCAAGTCGAGAGCTTAAATTAAAGATATAAGCGGCGCGGTGCCGCGGCGCCGGCGTCGTCGCCGCCGCCGCCGCCGCCACCGACGCCGATCCTGGCTTTGCCGGCAGCAGCAACCGAGGCGTCAGCGCGCACAACCGTGAGGCGGTAAACGAATTAAAAAGTAAACGGCCAGCCGTAAAAGTTAATAGCTGTTCGGATGAAAATTAAAACACTCGAGGAATTAAGATAACGGAGAGAAAGGAAGCCAGACAATCTGGGTGAGATTGACTGCTGCGCGCACCGGTCGCCGGCGTAAAACGTCAATTCTTCCTCTTTTTAAAACGAGAATCCCTCGCTTCTCTTTTTCCTCATCTTCCTCTCCCTTCTCGTTTCTTTTCACGGTTCGCCGTCAAGAGTTTGATCGCGATCTCAGAATCATCGAAGAACAGAATCTGCCATAAGAATCCAGCTAATTTGCCAAAGATAATTATGAAATCTAGGTTGGAGATTCGAATAGTAGAACAACGCTCCCAAAACATTCTGGTCGCGATAGCTCGATCGGGTCATCGATCCCACGTTTTATCGACGCCGATAAGAGCGAAGGGAAGGCACAATAAAAAAGATAAGCGAGATAGGGCGGAGGATAAATTTTTATTACGACTCTTGGCAGCCACGGATTGAAAATCCTATCTCGTATCTCAAAAATCGGCTCGCTCCGAAAGTCTAGCGACGTCTCCTCTTTATTATCCTTACTCCGTGTACTTTTAAGTTACTGACCGCGGGATACGGTCTTTGAATCGATTTTAAAGTGACCGTGCATTCCTGCCGTAAGAATTGATTTCCGGCTAACATTATGGCGGCGCACTGTTTAACCAGGAATTACCTCTAAATTAATAGACCGTAATTGAGCCAAAACGTGACGCAAGTAACCGATAATAAGCCATTAAAGCCTCTGCGGCCCGAAATTGAACGTTAACGTTAGAACAACCACCTGATCGTGCTAATCAAATCGACGTATTATACGTCTCATTAAATCTCGAGGCAAGGGCACGAGGAGTTAGACTCGTTCGGTTAAAATCGAGCGCTATACTCTTTAAACAGGAATACGTATCCCCAGGCTGTATTCACCCTCCGGGCAGAAAAAATGGCAAACGACGTTCCGCAAATCCTACGCCGGCTTTGGATCGGCATTTTCGGGATTTTTCTCGCGCGGTGTCGAAATGTAAATGGCTCGCAGCCGGAGGAGAAGCAGGCTTCGATCGTGTCGCGTCATTCATCTTGTTTTTGAACGCGTTAGTCACGCGGTTGTAAACGCTCCCTTCCCGCAACTGTTCGATTTATTAAATCAGGATTATCTAAGCCCATTACTTTGTCCTGTAAAGCTAGATACAAAACCGCATTTATAACTGCGCAAAGCCCATACCGACCCGATACACCGACGCGACGCGACGGGGTGGAGTGTCGATCTCTCTTCCCCGTTCTGCCTCGCCCCCTCGTCGCCCCTGTTTCGTTGCCTCTCTTCTTCCCGTCCTACCAATTCTGACAGATAATACCATGGCCAGTATCTGATCTCGTTGATATTGGCGGATAATTTACTATGCGAAAGATTACGCGAGTGTGACTCACATCTCGATACCGGAATTTGCATAGACACGCGCCACCTCGCGATTACCCTTGCCGAGAAGATGTTCGGTCATTTCGAAAGGGTGCACTCCGTTTTCCAAATCCTGTCAACCCACAGAGTACAAAATACGTTGCGGTAGAACGTGCAGCGTAGAACGCGTCAGATCCTTATTCCGTTCTATGTTCATTCTGTTCTCGTGACACGCTCGTTTCCCCGATTTCCCTTTCGACTCGCATTTTCCACCCTGTCACAGGTTTTGGCATGTCATTCGCCACGACTTTTCCTCGTCCTCCCTTCCCTCATATCTTCTTCCCTTACGTTCGACGGAATAAAATACGTGATGCTATTTCTTGAACAACACATTTAATCGATGGTCCGAATTCGAATGAATAAGTAAAAGGCGAAGCAGAGTCGCGGCTATCTGATCTGATTTAATTAACGGGATTCGATCGTTCATTCGAATCAGTTTTCTATAAATTAATCCGGGACGATCGAGTCGAGGTAATAAAGCAACTACAGCGGGTTTTTATCGGTGCGTTGGCGAGCGCATATCATTCTAAACCGGTGGATAAATTTATCGGAACGGTGGATCAATGAGGCCTTAATGAGATATATTACCAAATGAGAGTGTTTATATCGAATGCGGTCGACCGCGGCTGGCTAAGCGCCGATCATACGTTGTCGATCTATAACGTCCACCAAATTACCATCGTTATCCCCCGAAATAAGCAATTTAGCTTTTTGTCATCGTCGAACCTCGGACTTTAAATGAAATATGGAAACATTTCGATGCTATCGAGTTTTCTTTGGAAAAAGCACGGTGAATAAAAATCGCGAGCCTCGAGTCTTATCTACGTTTCTTTTTCTTCTCTCTCTCTCTCTATCGTAGTCTCGCTCGCTCAGTCTACGCCGTTCGCTTTTATCCATGCTACGCGCCCGAGTGACGAGCGATTCTAGAAAATATTTTATATCCAGAGACTACTGCGCTTAGTTTTCATTTTCCTTAGAAACGCGTTTCAAATAAAATTCGGAAACGCGTCCAGGCGAAAATGAATAGAAAAAAATTTGGCGAGGGATGCTTAATGACGCGTGGAAAGTCGCGCTTGACATTCACTCGGCTTCCGCCTCATTGAACACGCTTATCATTCAAATGCAACCTCATCGACGATAAATTTTTCAGGTCGGTCGCGCAGTTCGAACCGAGGACCTGTCGAGGGATCGGAACGACGCGTCGGTCTCCACGGTGAGCACATTTTGCCTTCTACGAGTCGCTTCGGTTTCGCACGATAGAAATAATAATATAGTAAAAAAAACGATTGCTCTATCGGTGTGAAATCAGGATTTTAAAAACGCTCTCCTCCTTTTCGTAATCGAAAGAGGGACCGAGAAAGAGCCGTAAAACACGGGCTGGTTGCCCGGTTCCCGTCGGCCGCGAAATTTGATTCCGAAATAAAAATAGAATATTAGGGATAACGCGAATCGGTGAAGCCATTTGATCTTCGAGTGAGGCGGAACGGTCGGCCGCGAGGGAGGCCGAGGGTGTCCGGGGGTGGGTAGGGTGAGGAAACATATCGATATGGGAAAGCGGTACGAGAACGGAATACAGAGGAGCGCATTATCGCCAACAGCCAACTACCCTCTGCCATTCTCGTGGATCGCATTACTTATTATTTGAAGAAACATTCTGCTCCGAGCACTTTGTAATATTACGAGAAATTACTTAGAATCTCTTCGATTCGTTTCCATCCGCGATTTTTCAATGGTCCGCGAGATTTTATAGACATCATTTTAATTTATTCTATACAGAGTGAATCGACGTAGAGTTTATTCATTGATTTTGACCATAGAGCCTTGGAAGTTGAATTTTGTCCTGACGAAAGTGTATAGAGACTATCTTTTAGTCGAATCAGTAGTGATACGAAATCAATGATGGCGATTCGTTTCGTAATTTAATGGGTGTCGCGTCATAACGAGAGTAAGTACCGGAACGAAGTTAATGGGATGAACGCGACGCAAGGGATTGTTTCAATTCAGCCGAACGGGTCCGTCGCGCGGCGAAAAGGGCCGAGAGTCAATTAAATAATCCCCGTTCGTTCAGAAGTAGTCGGATCGGTTGGAAATCTTATTGATCGCATCTGCGATACCCGTGTCCTCCTTTGTTTCCTAAGCGTCGCACTGATCTCTGCAGCCTGAATGAATTATGTGGGCAGGGGAATATTAATACGTGTGTACAGTGATACAGATACATTCATCAAATTTGATCAAGGAAACACTCGAGGGTGTTACAGGATTAGTCCGTCTCCCCTTCGTAGAAGCTCGATTTTGATCGGTTGGATTTTTAGCCCCAAAAAGATTCTCCGTCTCTCTTTTCCTCTCTTTCTCTCTCTTTATCTCTTGACTCTTGTCTCTCTCTTCGTTTTTATTCCCGTCTGGCATGGTTCGAGGGAAAATTGGACAAGCGTTTATGACCGTGGAAAGATCGTATCGAGGAATAATCAGTCATGCGTATTCCGTATTCGATATTCGTCAGCGATACGTGCGTGTCGGAGATTCAATTTCCAGGTGGGATTCGTCCCTTTTCACGGTCCCATTTCTCTGGTTAGATCGGCCGTTTCTTAAAAATATCACATTTGCACGACGGGGCAAAAAATCGGAACACATAATTAATTCGTACACGGCATCGGAACGGCAAATATCGACAGCCACCCTCTGTCCCAACCCCCAACTTTCGGAGCACGCTGCGACACCTGCCCGCACGATGACGTTAATTGGTTTCGACGAGCGAAAGAAATATCGATTCCGTCCGATTACGACGTAAACCGTAACTCGGAGGTCGGATATAATAACCCCCAGGTGAAAGGACCTAGAAGAGGGTTTCTAGAAGGCGGCGCCGCGAACGGCCAACGAGCCTGGCCGCGAAATAAAGTCTCGGTAGTATCGAGAAACATCGTAAGGAGGCGAAACGGGGCGTACGAGCGTAAGAGGGAGAGAAAGGGCACTCGGCTCGTGGATTCGAGCATTATGGAGTCAAGTACATGTGGGCCAATTTCGAGGGTACGAGCTGTGGGAGGTGAATGAAGGGAACGCCGCCGCCTGCTGCCGTGATTTATCACGCCGTGCCACGCCGCGCCGTACATACATACACCACCATGATGATACATGGTGGAGGAAAAGCGGGTAGGAGGCTTTCGCTCGTACTAATTGACGTCATCGATATTGGTATCCGTCGACGAGCAGATTACTCCGCCGTAAACAACTCCACCCCTCCGCTGCTTCCGTTGCTGCAGCCTACACACCCGGCATCCCCCGGCTCTACCAGGACACGGGGTGGCCCGCCACTTTACTACCACCACCACCGCGGCCGCGTAAACACCATCTAAGCCCTCTCGTTCCTTCCGCGCGCCCGCTATTTATCCCTGTTCTACCCCCGGCTACACACCCCCGATTACCCCTATCGAGCGTGTAAAACGCTATCTTTTGCTTAAACGATACAATTAGAAAATGTCTCCGAGTCCCCAAAATAATCCCGACCACCTCGTTAACCGCTCCAATTAAAACGACGAACGTACCTACATCTTCTGAACACAAGTTTCGCAAGTACAAACGTTTTTCCGATGAATTCTCAAAACGTTTCATTTAAACGAGATTATACCCGGCCACTCGCTTCATCGAGCGAGCGCTTCAACTTGTTATCCCATTCCTCATCTGGCTCTCCCAACCCTCGAAACTTGCCCGTCTCTGTCCCTTTCTCTCCGTGATACACGCGCTGATACGCCTACGAGCTGGGGTGTCACGCTCTTTAACTCGCAAATGCTCCGTCGTTCACTTTGCCGTATTAGATTCTAATAGGGGAAGCTCGCCACTCGGGGATCATTCGTTTAGCTGCATGTCCGAAGCTTTCCACTCTATCTCTCTCCCTCTCTGTTGCCCGTTGTCTGCCTCCGAGCGGCAAACCCCCGGCGGTGGTGGTGGCTGCCGCCCTGTTCGTTGCACTTTGCTCACTGTTCGCTTCACCGAGCCGGCTAACTAAATCATGCGACGGATATCGTTGGCAATTTGAACGGCGACGCGCGTAATAGTCTTAATAGCCGCTCTCGTTCGATTCGCGTATATAGCGGTGTCTCGCGATGATTGCCATGGCGTCGGACCAATTTGCGATATTTCCACTGGCCAGACGCATCTACGCGTTCTACTCCGTAAATCGTCGGAACGATTTCGAATACTCGTTTGATCGATCGCACGTTGCCAACTTTTTCATCGAATCTGTGTGTCTCTGGGCAAGAAAATTCTTGAGTTTTCGGTTTGAAATAATACAAGTAATTCCAGTGTTGTTTCAATTAATCTTTCCCCCGGTGAACGTCGCCGTGGTTGCATAGAGAGTTTAACGTGTGTTTGGCTTTTTTTTTTTTTAAAAAAAGAAGAGGAAAAAGAACGTATCGGTGGGATACACGTTTCGAAAACGAAAAAGTGATAAATCTGGAAATGTGGAATGACAGAACACATATATCTTCGTTGGGCGGAACTAGCGAATCCCTATATGCCGTACTAATCCTTTTCCGATACTGAAAAAATGATAAATCTCGGATGTAAAACCACCGAGCCGAGGGTATCGATTTTGTATACAGGGCGATCCATAAGTGAGCCATAAGGAGTTTAACGGTGAACCGTGCGATGTATTATTTGTACAACGGGCGTAAACGCTAACATTTTTTCTTACAAAAAAGTGTGTATCGTATACAAAGGATTAAAAAAATAAATGTATAGGTGCAAACTGGATATCGTAACGGAGTAGGTGTAAAACGATGGGAGGCGAGCGAATATTTCGCTTCATAAATTCACGTTCGTACGAAACGCGTGATATTAATTCGACGGGATGCTTTCTGCAAATAATATAGGCGATGATTGATGGATCGAGTATAAGTTTATTACGCATGGCAAAACGATCGCGACCGAAGCGCGTGTAAATAATTTCGTGCGAAATAATGGAAATGTTTACAAACGCGATGCGTTTAATCCTAGCGTTTAACTACCGAAACGATGAACTTGAGATCATTTTTAGGCCTGCAGAGACTTCAACGCGCGATCGTTACGATCGGTTCGTTCAAGGGAAAAAACTTGAGTCGTGTTTTTCCTTCTGTCCGACGAGCATGGCCAGTTTAATAATAATAGGAGACGATAAATTTCTTTTATCTACCGGCTGACAGCGGGGAAAGCAGAAAGTAAGAATGTAATACGCGGCACATGATCGTAACACAGCGGCAAACGAGGAAAGTTCGCGATGAGAGACTGTCTCGGTAGAGTATATAGAGGAGAACGATCGTCACGATTCACCTCGCGACCGGACTTCGATTTTTACGTTTATAAATAAATCAGAGTACAAAACGAGAGAACACGGACGACGACCGTTTAAACTTTCTCGTTTCATCCCTGGTTTCGCTAATTATGCCACCATCATTAGTTTCAAGCCCCGATCTCCGCTTGTTTCCTTATTTTTAATTTCCCCGAGTTCCACCCTTATCTTTTTTCCCTCTGTACCAGCGAGACGTTCAGAATATATTAAACCCCGTCTCGCTGCACAACGGAGTTTCTGCCTTTGGCGAATCGTACACGAGTTGCAAAGTCGTATACCTGTTAAGAAAGGTCGATCGCGTGGGTCCTCATCGAATCCGAGGGAACGCGTATATCGACCGACGCGAGGATCTGAATCAGCGACTCGTCTCGGGTCGGGATAGGTACATATATATCGCCGTAATATTTCGGGAAACGCGGCGTGCTGGTCCGTAGATCCGCTGGCAATCTCGCCCCCGAAGATGGCATATACGCGGAGGTGAATCGCCTTTTGCCGAGGAAATCCGAGGTAATTGAATGCTAACCCTCCCGCCCCCACCGGGCTCGAGTATCATCCCGGGCTCGGCGAGGCGGAGGGTCGCGCTCATCCCCTGGCCATCACTCACCGACACAGACTTGTAGCTTTCAATAAAAATGTAAATATGGCGGCGTAGAACGAGCCAATGACAGCGCTACATCGACGGGCCGCGACACACAGAGGGTGGAAACCGGTATAGGAGAGAGAGACGAGGGTGGCTGGCTTTCGGGGGTTGAGAGGGTTCGAGCGCGCCGCGAGGGTCGAAGATGGCGAACCCGGAGACGGAGAGAAGAGGCTGAGAGGCTTCGAGAGTGCCGGAGGCTGAGTTCTCCGGCAACGGGAACGGGAACGGGAACTCTCTGGCTCGGAGCACGAGTAGTACAGATGTAGCTAGGGAGAGGCGGGAGTAAAAGTGGAGGCTCGTCGGAGAAGCTTCCACTTCCACTTCCTTCGGGAGATCGCGGGGGTGGAGTAGGTCGGAGGATACGCGAGATAGGTAATAGGGTAGGGAGGGAAACGGGGGGGCGCGGGAGGGGCCTGGTCGGAAAAGATGGAGAGGAACAGCCGGGTAGACAGAGACGCTGCTGGAAAAAGAGGGGTAGTCGGAAGGAACAGTGACGGTTCGCTGTCGTCACTCGGAGGACAGGGTTTCCCTCTTCGTTCGTCTCGCGCGTGTTTCATCACTGATTCCAGCAGGGAGGGTAGGGCGCGGAAGGGAGAGAATGACGCAGGTGCCGCAAAGCTTGACACGTCTCCGGCTGTTTTGTCACCTTCTTTTATCCTTCGAACTTTTTAGAAGCTCGCTCGTTAGAAGGTTGCTCGCGGCGTTGATGGAGTAAGCCGTCGGCGAACAAATGCGTTTTAAAATTACGGGGCGCGTGGTACCGTTAACGAAAACGTAGGGGAACGATCGAAAAGATATCCGGACGGTGCGATCGATCCTAGTCATTGAAACGAATGATTTTTCGGGATCGCAAACCGTGCTTAAACAATTAAGCCGACAAGGAAATATTAAAACGATGGCGGCCGTTAAAACAACGGCAGTCCAACTTGATTTTACTTTTTATCGCTCGATACTCCGGCTCCCATTCGTTCCATCATTCACGGATTAATATCGGAGCCAGCGAAAACTTCAACTGTTATGAATTTTTATTAACCCATCTACATCTGTTACTCATAATTAGCCAAGCGCCCGGCTTAAATCAGCCGGACGTTTTTATTGGAGATTAGCGTAAAGTTTATTAAAAGCGCCGAGCGAACGCCACATCTAATTTTCCTCGGATCGATCTCGTTCGTTAAAAAACTTGGAAACCCGTTCTCATCGGAATCCAGCAAATATCCTCGCGTCGCGACCCAAAGTACTTCGATTCTGATCGAGAATTTTATAGAGACGACGCGATCGACTCGTCGTATTCGCTTACCTTGACTTGAGACTCGGACATGCCGAGGGCGTAGGCCAATTTAGCACGCTCCGGGCCCGCCAGGTATTTCGTTTGCTCGAACGTTTTCTCGAGGGCGAATATTTGCTGCCCGCTGAACGTCGGCCTGGTATGCTTCTTCTTGCCGCTCTCGTGTTCCCCGGTTCCGCCGGTCCCTGCCATCGTCTGCTGACAACCCAGCTGTTGCGACACTGTAACATCGACATCTCCCAGTTTCTCTTCTAATAACAGAGTCTGTCGTTTCTATTCATCCGCGAGGAACAGAAGAAACGAACGGGTATCGGGTATCGAGAACGATTTCGTAGTCGTCGAACGTGAAATTGGATTACGAGGTTCCGCGGAATTGGACGTTCGATTGGCGTTGTTGCGAGAAAATCGGTGATAGCCTCGCGCTCCCTTTTACCGAACCAATTAATCTTCATCAATTCTGCGTCATTCTTCTTGCCACGCGCGTGCCGACAATTTACATAGTTGCTACCGATAATTGCGCAATAAATTTACATCTCGTTACTCGCCAAAAATGTTCTGTACGACACATCTACTAAAAATCATCGGATCGTTCCACGATTCGAACATCTCGCTCGACCGTCCGTTCGACCTCGTTCGGTTCTGGAGAACCGCGCGACGAGTGCATCTTCTCACAGTTTAGCTGCTCTTACCGTTTTATGGCGGGATGTTGCGGCGGAAAAGAAAAGGGGAGATTACAGTTTAATTTGACGAGATCACGCGTTCGAGGGTAAAACACTTGTGCGATACACCGCAATCGTGGCGGACCGTTCCGGCGGCTGCCGGCACGTGGCTGGCACGTGAGTTTGGCGTTCGGCAAATAGGCGGACTTTGTTATCGTTATCCTTGCCTTCGCGGCTGATCCCTTCGGCAGGGACACGAGATCCTCCAGAACAGATAGCGACGCGTGACAGGGGGTGAAATTGGGGCGGCATTATCGCGGCGCTAACATGTTCACCAACGATCTACAGCGAAAAACCTGATTAACACGCGTCCCGGTTGATGTTAAGGTCTAACAGCTTGGAAAATTAAGGTGAAATATGTCCAGTTTCTGGCTGCATCCCCAAACGAATGATCATATTCTTTCTTTTTTTACGAGTACAGATAATGAAATTTCCTCGGTACGAACGATGGTCGCGCGGCTCGTGGAAATCAATCTTGCCTAGATGCGACAGGGGGCGGCGAGAGGGTGACACACATAAATTTCCGCAAAAAGCTCGACGCTCATCGAATTACCGGGCTAACCAGGAAAGTTGCGAGTTTACGCAGTTTCTAAGTAGATGAATAGGGGATACCTAGCTGGTTGAAACGCGTACGGCTCGATCGCGGCAGAGGGTGGAGAGTGCGGTAAGCAGCTCATTAGAACCCTCCCCGCCGACTGGCCATTATTGCCTCGTTCCGTATTCCGTTACAAATTGCTTTATTAAATTAAAGTCCCACAACCCATACTGTTGTGACGACCCCACGCCTCCTCTTCTTTCCCCTCGTTCCCCATGTGCCGCGTCTGACCGCGTGCTACCTTCTCCCTGTACCCTTCTTAATTACCCCTGCTAAATTTTACCGAACGCGTCGTCCTTTATCTTCGGCTCTTCGGGACGAAAAAACTGTAATATCTCGCTGCATCGGCGAACGTCCGTTTTTCCACGAGCCAATTCAGAGGGTTCGGGTATTTAATAGAAAGATATAAAACCGTTTGCATGGATCGCATAAAGCATGTCCCGCGACGCTCGTTCCTGGCCGTCTCGCGAGGCCCATGCAGCCGATCGACCTTAACAGTCAGGAATATAAAGCACGTAGTATCGGGGCGCGTTATATCTCCCGGCGTAAGTCGGCTCCGGGCGGAGGAAGGATACAACCGCGAATGCCGCGCAGTTAAAATATTGCCGGAGTTATTCACGTGAGTGTGGAAAGCAGGGGCTGCCGGGATACGAGGGTTGATATTGAATATGATATTCCGGGATACAGACGCCGCAGCTACCCTCTTATATTCGTCCCGCAGTGACATTCCTGGCCGAAACACCACGCTGAAACAACACGCGCGAGCAACCGTTGTCCGTCCACGCCCTACCACGCGTACTTACACGCTGCCATCCTGTCTCAACCCTCTTTCTCGGTTAAACCGTCCCGTTTCGCTCCCGATCCGCTCGCTGTCTTCTTCCTCTCGCCGAGGGGTCTAAGCGTGCGTGTCTCGGCACATGTGCCACCATCCCTGATGCATGCTTCAAAAGGGGACGCGAGCCCGACGTCACGTGTTCTTTCACTTTGTTTCTGATTTTCTTTTCTCTCGCGGCGCCCTTAATCGCTTTTACGAATCGCCCAAGGAGCTGCAGCCGAGTTCGTCGTAGTCTCTTCGATTTGGAAGACTTCGACTTCTCTCTTTATTATTCGTCTTCGGTTTTGAGAAAGCAGTCGTGTCGCGTAGTCAATTTTAATTTCCCTTCCCGGAAATGTTTCCTCTTCTCATCTTCATAGAATAAGAGCAATGCGTGTTAAATACCTCGCTCTCGTCGAGTCGTTTTCCCTCCTGTTTTTCGGTCAGGAAAAAAGTGTTTTCTTAGATCCTCGAAGACGGCATTTAGCGTTTCCTCCTGACACATGTTCTTTCGCTTCGGTCAACCGATTTCTTCGCCGCAAAAGCAAACACGAGCAGCTGTCAAATCTGTACTAATATCGAGCGAAACGAAATATCCCGTGGGCAGAGAAACACCCCGGATCCCTACCGTCGCTTAGGATACACTGTTTTCAATCCAATCTTTTTCTCCTTCGGTCTCCTTGTTTTCTCTCTATTTCGGTGACAGTCCAAAGATAAACATTATCTTTCGTTATCGTGTCGCGGTTACACGTTTCCTATTAAATTCTGAGTAGGTCGATCTTTATGTAAAACTCAACTGGACATATTTCACTTGTAACTCTTTTCGTCCCGTTCACGATCTCTGGTCCGAGGTACGCAGCCAAGCGAAGTATGTTTGCGCGAAACTTACGTGTGTGCAGCCTCGCTCGCCATGCCAGGGGATCGCTGACTAATCCCTGAAGACCCGGCCAATAGACAGCAGGATGCCGTGGTTCCGTTCTTTGTTGGAATTGTCCGATACCTGCATTCAAACCGAGCGTGCCATAAATATATTAAGACAGACATTTTCTCTCGCCTGCATCTTTATATCAGAGGTACAGAAGCAGAAAATCAAAGACGTTCTTCGACCGATGCCGTCTCACTCTCGAGTTTGATATCTTATTAATGACCGTTTCTTTGGGAATCTAATAACAGCTGCGGTGATTTATGTCGCCGAATGGGGTGACAATATGACGCCGAGAAATTCCGTAAAGTAACGTTATTTGTATCCCCCGGTACACTATATCTTTCAAAGAGATCGTGCCAGCATCGGAGAACCGCAACGCGACGCGTGTGGCCACGAACAATCCAATCACGGGAGACGTTTCTTCGTTCGTACAAAAACAGCACAACCCGTTCGAATCTATCACTGGAACTACGACACTTTGCATGGAGGTGCTCGTTCGTACAGTGATTAATTCAAGGTTGCTTCGTCTAAAATTTGATCAGCCAATTATCACGTAAGAGAGACTGGCAAGTGGCTACTGTGTCGCGATCAAGGGAACGGTTTTACAAATTGCCTCCCTCAAGGGTTTATATCGGGTTTATAAAATGCCGCGGTCATATCGACGTGTTGGTTGTTAATTCAGATTCGAAGAAAAACGCACGGATTCCTTTTCATTCGAGTCTCGAGATACCCTCTACCACCAATAAAACGTTATTCCAGTTTTAGTGTTCCGGCGAGCGCGATGCTCTCGGAACCAAGAACGAGCTTTTCGAAACGCAGTGCGAGAGATACGATCGTTACCCCTTTTGTCCGCTACGTTGAAATCAAATAAAATTTATTGGATCGTAAACGAGACCGATGTTGCGCGCTCGTCAACAAAAATATGTATTGGGGATTCGGCGTCGTAACTATGACCGATCTACAAAGCCGCGGATCCGCCGATTTAATTGAAGCCCAGTCGTGATTTCTACAAGAGTTTATTATACGATTGACGTTAAAGAAGTTCGAGAGATCGTCTACCGAACGTGGATGTTCGTATCTTTCGATCAGCGAAGCACTGCGCTTTGAATAATTTATCTAAGAATGAAACGAAATTGGAAGGGATGGGTGAAATAGAATTCCAATACGCCGTGGCGATTAAAAAAAGTGTAAAATGAAAATTAAAGCGTTGCTCGGTCGCGTTTTCAGGAGGGTGAATTATCGCGAAAGCAGATGCAACCACGGCGAGAGCCGAGTGGAGGCTGAATGAACACACGGACGCGTATCGAACCTGCGCATTCCGTATTGCGCGACATGCATTGCTCGCCCATTTTACTCGGAGGCGGGATATGTTCATGTTTATACAGCGCGCCCCATGAAAAGCGTCCTCGAAACGGCTTGTACCGCGAGAATTATTAGAAATTTAATCGGTGAACGATGAGGCATTCTATGACGATCTAACGAGGTGAGTACGCGCGAGATAATGTCTCCAGCTGATCTCGACGTTCCCGTGGTCTCAATATGATCTACGCGAACGGTTTCTCAAAGGGTTCTTCGAGATGAATCGAACGTGATCAGAAAATGCTGAGTTCTAAATTCGCGATTTGAATTCGAGAGAATTCTAATGAGTACTTCACGTTTTAGACAGACTCGTGGAGTATCGCGATTGAGCAACGCTGTAGACACCATAAAATTGTTTTCCTTCCAATAAAAGAAGAAATCCTCGGCGTGGTACCCGTAAAAGCTACCGTGGGGTCCCCAAAGAATCTTTCACGATTTATACCCGGCTGCTGCTGTGCTACTTTTACTCGTGGCGGACGTTCAAATATCTCCAGAAATGGTGCCCATAATTCGCAGTAATGGAACGGCCATAGTTTAAAAATACCTCTCGCGAACATTGTTTAAGATCTTCGATCGACCAGATCTTTTTATTATTATCGCATAATCTCTTTGGTTTGTCCTCGTCAATTACCCAAAGATCGAGCGATAGTTTCGAAGCTCGATGGCTGTTAAAATCCCACTTCGCCGGGAAGCCTAATTCGTGAACTCATCAACCCCGGTCACGTGCCACCCTTGTTCGGCAAATGTGTTTAGTATTTCTGTGCCGCTCTTGATAGCCTCGCTTTTAATTTTATGATCATACCTCTCGTATATCTGTCACGATATCATTGATAATAAACGAACAAGGCTTCACGCCGTGTCACGGTCTCCGCTCTCGCGTTCTACGATCGTTTAATTATAAAATTCGAAATAATTCAGTTTGCAATTCCTCGCGATTGAATAGTCGAGAGTTAGCGTAACCTCGATGAAAATCCCCCAGCCAAATTGGCCACCGTCGTCAGGTGGTTAACCCGAAATACGCTAACTTTGGGTTAGTCTACGCGTTTATCTAATTCGGTTAAGCGAGTTTGCTGCGCGGCTCCCCGATCCCGTTACGAAAATTACATATTTCGAAGATTCACTTTCGTTCGCGACACGGGCAACGCCGTAAATAATTGGCCCTTTAATCATTTTAAATGCACGGATAATCCGGGATCAAGTTCAAGATAGAGCCCCGGACAGATACAGATTATACCGTTGCACGGAACGAAATAGTATTTGCGCAAGACATAATTTAATTTCATCCAAAACCCGTTGGATCTCGGCGGTACGTTAATAAATATGCAACCGGCAACAATTAACTATTCGATTCATCGTCATCGTTATTTTTGTTCACGCGTCGCGCGCCGGCCAAATTATAAATCCGTCGATGTTTTCCATTTTATTCAAATTAATTAATGACTGTGCACGCGTCCTACTATGGTATAAATCGGAATAAAACTTGGGTGAGACGAATTCGTTCTTTCATGAATTATTACCAATGCAATGTGCGATCTTTAATTCAATTTCGCTATTGGTTCGTTCTTGTATACATCTGGCTCTTGGAATTGATCAGGACCGAATGTTTTCCAATTATAATCAATTCCCATATGATCGATTCTGAACCCCATAGAAGATTCTTTGACGGTCATTCCCCAATTCTTGAAAATTCTTTGTCAATCGTCGCATTCAAACTCCTGACAAATGAGATCGTCGGCTGTCGATCCTAACGTCGTTTGCTTATTCGATTCACAGAATGGAGTGAAGATACGAACCGGAGGATGCAGTGAAGCCGGCGTGCATTCCGTACCGCGAAGCCGTCATGTGCTGAGGATGCGGCGTCGGTTGCAACGCGGCGTGCGTCGCCGAGACGGGCGCCTGAGGATGCGTCGCCGCCGGCCGCGACAGTATCGTGTCGATACCGTGAGGATTGTTGCCGACGGAGGTGATGGACGTCGCGGGACTGTGTTTCCCGCTTCCAGTCGGTGAACTCTGTCCCTGAGTAATAGTAGACAAAGGTACGCTGATCCTAGGCAGCTGGATTCCTTGTTGCTGCTGATGGTGAGCCTGTTGCTGCTGCTGTTGCTGCTGCTGCTGTTGATGCTGCTGCTGTTGCTGTTGCTGCTGCTGATGGTGGCTTCTCTCGGCCATCGAGTGAAGAGCGGCCAGTGGTTGACTCGCGAGCATGCTACCACCGGCCGCGCTCAGATTCAGGAATTGGAGAACGTGAGGGGCTGCAGCGGCGTGGAAGTCGTGCAACCAAGGTGGCCTCGGCGGCGGTGGCGAGTGGCTGGACGTCGGGGGTGGCGAACACGAGCCGAGAGAAGAGCCTGCCGACGAACTTCGGTCGCCCTCCAAGTGGCTGTTCCGCCTGTGAGCGTCGCTCAGCGACGACATGTTCTCCCCTGGCTGCGTCTCCGGGCTGGATCGCAATTGCAACTGCAAGTCCGAGCAGGCCTCGCCACCGGTATCGTTGCAGCTTTTACTATTATTATTGTTATTGTTGGTGTTGTTGGTCAGAGAACACACCATCTCGCACCACGCATAGTTCGGCAATGAACGGAAAATCTCGACCGGGACAGGAGGATCCGGAATCGTTCACTGAGCCACACCACTGGTAAGACACTGGTCACTCACTCGGACCTGGGTACCGGGTTACTTAGGGTTCACTGTCGATCACTATCCATCGCGTTTACGAATTTTACATTCCCGATTCTCGTTCCCGTTTGAAAGTCAGTACCGTGCACTCAGGTAAGGCGGCATGGTACGGTCACAAATTGTCCCTGTGTTTTATCGACGAAACTGAATAATCCTGTGAGATCCTTGAAACGGGCAAATAGAGGACGCGGGCACCTCGCGTCCGTGAAGGTGATGTCGCGGATGACACTATACTATAATGAGGGGTGGCCGAGGGACACGGCTCGGCAAGTGGTATGCGACTGGGGTGCATCGGGTGGCGGCGAGTCCGTGGCGGCTTACACCTCGAGATGGCATGGTCGGGGTTAGATTCGGGTTTGGGTTCGCCGGCAGAGAAATTCACGGAGCGGGACGCGGATAGGTCGGCCCCGGGCGGCTGTTCCGGCGTCGGAGGCTGCGGATTGGCGTGGAAACCGTGGGTAGTCTGGTCCGTGAAGGGCGGTTCTGGTACCGGATTGGACGTGCACCGCTCGTTCCTCCGGAAGAAGAGGTGTTCCGGGCGGGGCCTCTCAATCTCGCGTTAGCTTCTTGTTAAGCGTCTTTCATTGTGTGTTTAAATTCGTAATTTATGATCCCGACTGAATAAAACAAGAACTCGCTGGTTCGCTTACTGGCTGGTTGGCTGACTGGCTGGCTGGCCGGCTAGCCTGGCTCGGCCGAGCTGTTTGCCTGACTGGCTCCGCTAGTTTGCTCGACAACTGGGCACCTCTCTACGACTATGGTGACACTACCGCCTCGATAACTTCCTTGCTTCCGCGCTTCCTTCCACTCTGATTCCGCTTCGTCTCCCTCTTTACCACCCCGTCGCTCTCTCTTCCTTCACCCACCCTGCTCGGAACCCTGGACTCGTCTCCTCTGTTCCGGCTCGGCTCGGCTCGCTTTCCAACCAGTCAAGTACGCGTACACCGAGCAAATCGAGTTATTTGCTCCCGATGGTCCATTTGGCGTGTTCCTCCGCTACTATGTATGGCGACGCACGTGTCAACGAGAATTCGGTTACTTCGCTCGGCTGAACCATTGCTACGCGGACGACGTAACTAACGTCGTCCTTACCCCTTTCACTCCCCCCGCTCCTCTTCTTTCTTCTAACAACGGTTAGACACTCCTGGCGCTCGACCAATCTAATAATCTTCCCAGCGATGAATAATTTATGCCCCTACCTTTCGCGCAGAGGTAAGTAGACGTCATAATTGTCTACGACTCTGTTGGATTTTCGCGGTAGCGAATTGATCGGCGGCGACGCGACGAACGTGGAAACATGGAATTCGTGTTGCCATATTGATTTCAGGAACGGGGATGAGTTTATCGAGTTTCAGTTCGATGTAGAATTTGCCTCGACGTTCTACCGTCCAAGTATTCGAACGCGGAATTTTGATTTCTATCGAGACCAGCCCGTTCAAGGCTCGATAATCCGCACGGCTAGGTAATAATAAACGAGAGATTGATACGCGATAAAGGCGGCATATGGCCGGTTTTATGTACACATCGTCCGATATCGGTGTTTCAATTACGGAAAACAACCGGTCTATCCTCTGTTTAAATAAGACTTTTATTATATTGACGTACGCGAGCATTAACTCCGTCCCTCTCGATTAAACTCGGCACCCGTCTTTTTACGGATACCTCCGGTATCTATCGCGTATCCATAAACTTATTAGAACCCCCCGCGCGAAACGAGATTCAAAGGCACGGCACCCAGGATGTTCCTCCGTCCTTTAACAGTTCATTCCGAACACGAATCACAATCTAAAATCCATTTGCCGGCGTAACACGTTCTCGCGCGTACAATGTGCATGTCCCGTAGTTACTTCCACACGCGTGCACCCGTGCGAGCGTCCATTCGCGTCGAGTGTAATTCGAAAAAAATCGCAGGCTTTCCGTCGCGGTCGGCCCGTAATCCGCGCACGGTGGCAACGCTGGCGGAGAGCATAAATTTCTCGTTAAGGGGGCCGCCTTTCCATCGTTCGGTTTTATCTCCTTCTTCGAGCGGAACCTCGTTACGCGCCTCCTTCGCATTCGTCCAACCCTTGTTTTTGATCCATTTCCGGGTTTAAACCCATAGTTATTAGCCGGGGCTAGGGCATCGGCCAATAAAATCGGTGCAAATTACATGAACCAGCAATAAAGCTCTCTCTATCTCTCTCTCACACTCCGGCAACGATTCGACGGCACCGATTAATGGACTCGCGCGCGTTCCGGTCTTCACGACGAATTGAAACTGGCGCCCGATTAGCGAATTCATTTGCGAATCGAACCGGCTCCACCCCTCGCCGTTGCGAAATGCACCGAGATGGATGTCCGTTCCAGCAGACCGGAATTTCCAACCTCGCTGGAAGTCCAAACGTCTTTTACTGAATTCTCAAAAAGCAATAATTAAGAGCAGTCCATACTATGATATTAGGCGAGTCACTTGGTGACAAAAGATATTCTCAGAAACGTGGGAGCAGATATAACTCATAAAGGCACGAAAGAACGTCAGAAGCTGAATGCATATTGCAGTATTCAGCTGGCGAATAGAAATGTTTTGTTTTGCATTAAAACCTGCGGTTCAGATACACGACGCGAAGATTCTTTCTAAGATGTTCCTCTCCCTCGCACATAAAACAAGTGACCCCGTATAAGTATCGTCGATTCGTGTTCCTTTTTTAAAATGTGTATTTGTTTCGTAGAAGTTGACGCGGGTCCGCCGAGTTCTTCACGGAGTGTTCACGACGCGATCATAGAAGGCTGGATCGCGGGTCGAATATAAATTTTCTAAATTCCGTCTGAATATTCCGCGGACGTTCTTGTTACCGTTCGGACGCATCTGTTATTCGTTTTCCCTGCCGCTTTCCTCGGGCACCCCTCCCTACGGCGAGAGGGCTAATTTTTCATGCCGAGTTCGATGGTCGTTCGACAGCCTTTTCAATCGAAACGATCGTACAAATTGTGGGGACACAAGTGTGTGGGCAATAGGACGTCTATATTTTCGTTCCTAACAGATTTCTATATCTATTTTTCTGAATAGGAATCGTATTTCGTAAGATTGATACGTGATGAAATTAATCTGCGAACCACTCGTCGAGATAATCCTTTGCCAGTAGTTCGGTAAATGATAAGTCAGACGCGTTCCGAATTTACGTGCAAATTACTTCGCTCTCGATCTCGTTGAGAAGTTGTACGCAAGGTAAATATAAATATGCATATCACAATATTTAACAGTGGAACTACCAAACCGGTGAAAAAAAACAATGGGTAGTTCTAGCGTTAAGTGACAATTCTTCTAATCGATGCCATGCATCTTTTATTTCGCATAAAAATGGAGTTGCAATTTTCTAGCTGAAAACTGTGTGAATCAACGATCGACACCTGCTTCCGAAATCAAACGATATTCGTTAATTTCCGCAAGCTTTTCCAGCCTGCGTCGTTTTACGGGACATAAAGCGATAATTGAGGTGACCTCTCCACGTGATAAATGTCCGATAATTTCACGCGCGATCGGTCCTCGATAACGGGCGTAGAGCGTGTCACACGCGACGGGAAAAAGAGGAAGACGAAGGAGAAGCCGTTTCGCAGCCGGCCCGAGTCATTGTGTCCCGATCATTACACGCCGATGATTGCATTATATTAGCCATGCAGCGTGAACCTTTTGCCCACCGGTGATCCGTGTCATCGCGCGTTACACGCCAGATGATGCCACAGCCGTGTATACGTAATACGCACGCAGTTAGGCCCGTCTCATTCCCTTAATCGTTCCATTCACCGTTTTTTTTTTTTTCAATCTGATCGCGTTTAAATCACAAATCGCAACCATCATTTTTCTGTTATGTAGGTATAACGTTATTCGATGGAGAGTGATCGAAACACGTACGTTCCTCTCTTTTCTATGCGTTCGATCATAAATAAGGACCTTTTATTGGAAAGCGGAAACTCGAAATTTTCGAACTCTCGTCTCTCCGATTATCGATTTTCGCATTAGCTCCCGATTGGATAGAGTTTCATTAATACTGTCCCCGAAAGATCATCGCATTATCGAGGTTCACAGTAGTCACCCGTTTCGTTCCGCGTCGTTGCTTCCTTCCTTCGGGGCGGTCCCATTTAAACCCGGGTTTCTGCACGCCGAAAACGACTCAATTCTTCTATTTTAATCTTCCCAAGTGCTCCACCCTTTACTACCATCATGAATAAACATTAAACGCGTATTAAATAGAAAACACTTGGATCTTCTGCCCCGATGAAATATATTTCGTCGCAAGAAATTTCTTTTACTGCGTTTAATACGCGCACTCTTTTCATCCCAGCATCATCTTCTCACCCGAATGTTGATCATTCTCGCCGTTGCATTCAACGGAACGGAATCGCCCAGGTCGTCGAATGACTTTCTAAACTCGACCTAACCACCTCCGCGCCAACAAAAAGGTTCCACCAAAGAAAGAAACAAAATTCCAGTCCTCCATATAATAGGCTAATTATAATTACCCGACGCGTCCGGTTCGGCTACCTGCTATTCTGAGATCCGAGCTAAGCCGGAAATAGAGGGAGCTGAATGGATGATTAATAACATCTCCCAGGACCAAAAGTTCACCGCCATCGCGATCAAACGACCGTAATGCGCTCCGAGTCGAAAATATCTACGTATGATTTACTATAAACGCGCCGGTTATTACGAAAGTAGTTTAAGTAACGAAATAAAAAAAATTCAGATTTTCGTAGCCTCTTATGTCGCGGAATGAATTTTCCTATTTACGCTTTGATAATAATCAGCGAGGATGGAAAGATTATTTACTCAGTCGACGGGAATGGTTTATCCTACATGAAAAGTCGAATACTCGAGGAAGTCGAACTCGACTTTCCGTGGATTCGGGGTGTTACACGTTCTTTCAGGCCTGTGAAACTATTTCATTGAACAAATTTAACGCTAATACTGTCCAAATACGACAGGCGCATTGTTGGGGCCCAATAAAGGGTCCATAGTAGCAGCGGCAGAAACGGCACAGCTGCTCCTGATTCGTGAGGGACGTCAAACAGGCTTAAAGTCCGCTGTCCTTTTTCGGTCTATCAGTCATTTCGGTGCGGAGCGAGTGGGGACCATAGGTTCGAACATTGTGTCCGTCCATTCACACGGGATATCTTCCGCTGCCCGGTGGCGAGAGGTTTACGCTACTCAAAATCTGCTTTTCCACCGCGCTTTGCATGCGCTTATCGTTTGTCACCTGACGATCCGTCCTTAAGGATGTGTTGGCTATACNGCGCCAATACTTAATTGGATATTTCCTTCTATACTTTTTAGCACGTAGCTATTTATTATTAGCATTGTTCTTCCGACGTCTGATTTCTCTTTAATTATAGGAAATGCGTTTTTCTAAGGTACATAAACTTTTGGGATTGACTGTGTAGCCAATACATCCTTAAGCGATGAGCCATCGACTGCCATTTGTCACTGGCGCGTCTTCTTCTCTAGAAACGTTCTCTAAAGACTTCTCTCGCGCGGAGGAGAGTTCATGGCGTGAGAATCAGATTCAGCAAAAAGCATCGCGTTCTCTTGAAAGGATTTGAATTTGTCCGAGAGACCCTCTTTAAATCTCCGTGCTACTACGTACGCCCGGCATTTGCATATTTCAGTCCGGCCATCGCAAAACACGCGGCAGAGAGCCCTGGCTCGCTTCTCGCGCTCGATCTCTCGGTTATTTTTCCATTCGTAACGTATTCTCTCTCGCTGAACGTTACGAGGTAGATTTCGCGAATGGTTTTTACCTAATTGAAAGAACGTCGAATTAAGATTGCAGCGGGTACAGAACGCGGAGATAATCGTGGACATTTCCCAATGCGGTATCCAGGACGTAATTGTCGTGTACACGGCGCGCGCAAACATTTGCGCGTACCGGATCGGATAGATATCTCGTTTGGGAACGCGCTACTTTTCCGTGTTATCGCTTTAGTTTAGCACGTGTAAATTCCAATATTTAACCGATCGCATTAACCTCTAATGCACAACGATGGACTAATGAAAATTGTATGCAAAACTGTTGGATTCGCATCGACGGAAGTGTTGCCCGATGCGGTCTCCGGTCCGCGTGTAATTACCAAACGAATAACTCTTTACGCTAAATACTAATTACGAAACAAATTACTTGCCGCGCGTCATAAAGAAAACATTAATAGCTAAATATTTGCATAATATACTATCGGACGGCCGCGTGGTCGTTACCGATACGAGATACACGCAAAGCGGTATCGATCCAAGTTCGACGTGGCCCGCGAGCTACTTCGCGCGAATTTATTGCTATATTAGCGTGAATGTTAATAAACCAATCCCCGTGCCGCCTCTAATTGTTTGTACGATCCTTCTATCGACGTTGAGCCGCGGCCGATCGTTCATCCGGCTCGTTTTCATGAACGCCGCATCCTGCGGACAGAAAATCGATTCCGACAGTTTGCTCCATTCTAATTTGTTCTTGCCTCGCCGCCCGATATCGATGTCACCGCGATTTATTCCCGTTCGAAAATCTAGTACTCCCCCTTTTTTTTCGTCTTCGCGATTTCCTTTTCGTACGACGAAAATATTCAACGAGATCCGATTCTCACGTTTCGTGTTCGCGCAATGGACCGGGCATCGTGCGAAATTCGTACGAAACGTGACCGGAAGTGGTTTAATCGTCCGTCGGGGCATCCCTGGGGCTCGGCGGGTGCAATAAGTAACGCTAGACTCTAAAGATGAGGTCCGATGCATCAATGTCATCGCTCGTAACATTGTTCACCGGCAGGCGAGGACTTCGGCTCTAACGACGTATTTATGGCGTCAAGTTGCGGCTTAAATAATAACCGGTTGATGATGGATGGCACTGCCGTGCACGCAGAAAATCGACATCATTATTGTTGTCAGGGTTTTGTAACAACCGCCAAGATGTTTCACGATCGCACAATGCGTGCGCGCGAGCTCGTGCACGGCAGATGCGTTTAATCCGTCTGTATTAACGACTCCTCGATCACGATCCCGGGCTTTATCTCGCAAATCAGTTCTGGGAACGAGCCACATCGATTTCTCGCCCGTCGTTCCGGGGAGAAATTCGACGTTGCAATGATTTTTCAGGATCCATCATAGATCCAAGTGTCCGTACATAATTCTGAAGCGCGACATAATCGAATGAGTGAGTAAATGAACGGGGTTGATAAGATAACGACTGATTAGGGACAGATAGGCAGACAATATATTATAGATTTTCTGTTTCGTGCTGCGACGCGAAATCTGTAATTTATTCTTTTATTACGGTGCAATAAAACACAGCTGGATGTTCCAAGTGCATCGAATGCGTGAAACGTTTCCAAAAATAATCGTTTCACATAGAATCGTATCGATTCCACGATATTGGTTCAATTTTTTTCACACGTTTCTATACGTCGTTCAACTTTCGTTCGTGGCATCCATTCGATAATTCATTATCGTCGAGTATTAAACACTTAACGATGTTACCGTGCCACTTTGTCGACGGATCCCTTTTGTAGAGTCGACAAATTGATCGAATAGATCACTCGACGCTTCAGGTAACGATTCGAATCGTTTCGATCGTGAACGAGAACGCAGGAAGCAATAGGCTCTGGCGCGGATCCAGGATTCTACGTCCTGTCCACGTTCCTACGGGGAATCTAACCACGCGTTTTCAGTTGGGCCCCATTGAAATCGGCGCTCACCGACAATAGGTTAAAGCGTCAAATTAGGCGGTGCAGGTCAACTGCATGGGCGTCCCTGCCTGCCTGCCTGGTCGTCGCCGTGTCGGCTGAATTCTCTGCCCCGGATATAGGGTTGCCTTTATAATGCCATAATACAAATAAGTCAGTCAGTCAGTCAGTCAGTCGCTGCCCCGCCGCTGTACCCTACGGTCTATTATGGTTCTTGATCTCCGACCATTATGCGTCCACCTTTCTCCCTCGATTGTTGCCTGCAAAGTCATTCGAGCTACGCGTCAAGCTTCTGCGTTCCCCTGTTACCCATCGCCCGTCTCCTTCCTGCACCGACGCAGCTTCCTCTCTTTCATCTCGGGTTTACGCTCTTTTGGTAGCCAGTACCCACCCGCGTTTATACGTATTCTTCCTACCTTGCTCAGTGTACGAGTTTTCGCTCGAGAGAGATCATCGGATTAAGACCCGTGAATGGGAATTAAGGTTCTCCCTATGAAAGCGAGCCGGACCAACTTTTTGCCAAGATATCTCTTTGATTTTCGAGACCAGAAACGAGTTCGATCAAAAACGAATTACGAGACGGGAATTTTATCGTTACGAGCAACACGGTTCGACTTATTGACTCGGATCCTGTTACCCCCGGGAGGGTACAAAATAGGCTAACAATAAGCTTGTCTCCTTTTCTTTGAACTTCACTTCCCCCTTGTACAAATAGATAGCGATATTTATTTAAAAAGCGAAGCTCGGTGAGGAGAACCGGTCCTATTCCCAACGAGGAGATGGCCGGGGGAACGTTTGACAAATTTTAACAAAAACTCGTCGCTAGAGCGATTAAGGAAGATTAGGATTTTTAGGAAGAGGTCCGTGCGACACTTGCCATCGCGCTGGTTCATGCCGCGTTATGCTAACTGCTAACAGCTGGCCATCCCCCAGGGTCCTTTCCGGTTCGTTTAGCGAAGACAACCGTGTGTCATCGTTGTTGCCGCGCGCTAATTGAATATCGCACCCTTACTGCCATTTCATCTCGCGGCGGAGCTTTTAAGTAAAATTTCATTTCCATCGTTCGCCGTCCCACACTTTCTTCACGATCAAAACGAATACAACGATCGTTTCAATTAGTTAATCGACACTCGTCCGGTTCGCCCGCCGTTTGCTGTTTGCTTCGAGGACCGTACGCGAAACCGAGGGAATAAATTGGCAATGACGTATGACCGATCGATCAGAAGAGGACGATCATCAATTCCGACACGTGGAGTCTCTTAAAAACGAGGTTTGTCGGGCGATAATTCTTTGCACCGTTTTAGTAGAAGTTAAAATTGCGGGAAACGTTTAGTGCAAGGCGCAAACGAGACCGTGCGAAGTTGATCTCTCCGGATCGGGTACGTATAAGTTAATCGGGACGGAAGGAGTGAGCGTAAAAGTCGACGAGAGTATAGAGGCTGGAACTACGAGGTGAAACGAGTGAACAGAATCGAGTGAAGCGACGCCCGGGTAGGCCATAAACAAGTGCTTACCGCAATCTAATGCGTCTGTAATTGCTCGAGCACCAGTATCTTCCCCAACGGTCCCACTTGCTCCCGCGATTTAATTACTATGTAAATGTCGCATTCCCTAAACTGTCCGTTTCCCTCTCCTCGCCGCGCACCGCCGGCACCCTACCCTTTTCCAGGCTGTCGCCCGATGTCCTTAATTACTTTATACGTTATTATAGCCCACCAACTACTGTCAACCGTACTCACTCCATCCGACAGCCACCCGTTTCACTCCATTCCGTTCGGCCATATTGTTGCCGGCTTAAGCCCCAATCTCTTTACCTCCTTCCCGAGCTTCCGCTCTCTCTATCTATTCTGATTACCCACTGAGAATCAAAAACGTAGCTTCCTCTTCTTTTTACGTTTGCAAGACAAGCTCGTATCTGACATCGTTTTCCTCGTTTTAATTAATTGCAACGCGAACGATGATTCGAATTCTTCATCCATCGGTTTAAAGCTTCAGTGGTCGATTAGGGGATTGGTTTCGATTTGGAGGACGCTCCTTATCTGTAGCCCTAGTACGTCTTAGCTGGTGGACAGTATAAATGGGTTTGCTGTCCACAGGAGTCCGATAATTTGGCAGCCGAGAGGGTTGTAAGAGGGCTTTGACCAGTTTGTCAGCCCACCGATGTACTTAAGAGGGTCCTACGGTTCCGCTACGTCAATTTGTCTTGCACCGCAATGGATAAACTCCCCGCGATTTGTCACCGACCCCGATTCTCATTGAAAATCAATCGATCGCCAACACGTTTCACGTATTTTGAATATTTCCCCGGCCTTCGAGACACAGATCAATACCGTTCCGCGTTCGTGAGCACTTAGGAACGGTTTATCTTTATAATGTCACGACTGGTTTTACAGTTAAAATTCGCCGAGCTATTCTTTCTCTTTCCTTTCGGTTTATTCGATTCCTATAAATCCCTCGTTCTAAACTTATTGTGTCGTACCTTGCAAACTGCGATAGGAGTCACGTATGCAATTCTAAACACCCTCGGGTAACGAGAAAGATAACAGGCGCAAAATGTAATTACAAGAAAGCGTACGGACGAGGGTGCTTATTTCATTAAGTAAAGAATATAAACTAGCAAGTGGAACGTCTCTGATTAAGAGGAAAACGTTGGAAAAGCGTCGTAGAGAAATTCTTTGAACAGCGTTTAGTTATTTAAAAGTTCCGACTACATTTTTTTACGGTCCTTTTATTGAAATTTTTCATCTTCACCGATGGCGCTATCTCTTGGAGTGGTGCTCGACCTGATCGTACATTATCAACTGTTAAGCGAATTATTTGCAATTTAATTTTAGAATAAAATGAAAGATATTATTAAATGTGATTACTAGTTTTAATTGATGCATGAATTAAACTGGTGATTACGCAAAGGTGTGATGAGTATCTGCTGTCGATAATGGCATACGATCAGGTTGAGAGATAACGTTGGTGATCTGTGCATGTGCATGTCCCGACGGTAGACCATTTATCGACGAAAAAAAAATTGATTCATCTCGTGTAGAATCCTACTATGCCATTTTTGACAAATTGAAAGTATTAAAATTCAAAGGTTCGTTTCCTTAATCGGGGTTCCTCGAAAGCGTGTCGATACGGTATTTGAGCGCACGCATCGGAACACGTATCGTTACGTGTCCGGAGTACAATATGTTACAACTAACGACGATTCGGTTTCCGTTCCAGAACACACCTGGCTTGTTTCCGGCTTGTCTGAATTCGCACGAAATAATTCGCCAGCGGGACTAGACTTTTGACGATGGCTATACTCGGATATGATGATAGCATATCCGGCGTGAGAAGGACGGAGAGTCGATAAACCGTGTCTAGGCTACGGATGGCCGTGTGAGTGTGGCCGACGTAGAGTGTGGTGGACCGTCGCCTACACGTTCACGATCCCAAGATGGCGCTCAACTTGCGGAGGAGCGGGTTTCCTATATACAGTTCATAGCTGTTGATAGCTGCGTCGAGCATCGAACGATGAGCGACTACCGGACCGATCTGCTTGCTTTTGCCGCTCCGATCAGTGAATCTTAAAGATCGCGGTTTTGCGTCTCGAGGAATGAAAATGTGTGCCCGCGTGCAATCGACCGTTCGGTTGGAGCCTGAAATGAGTACGTGCCAGTGATTCTTCGGTTATGTCAGTGTGTTAAGTCAAAATGGCAGCCACGTTAACAGTCGAGCAGGAGCAGGTAAGCTGAACTATTATCGGTATCGTCTCCGATGTAAAATGAAAAGCACACCACCGCCCTTTATCGTTCCGGCAGCAGCGCGAAACGACCGATTACGTTGGCTTTTTTTCGCGGATCTCTGTGCCGCACGCAGAGCCGCGCGAATATAAACATCGCTTGCTCTTCTTCCTCCCGATACTTTAAATTTTTTTGCTGAGCTTCAATGGGCAGAGCGAATGAATCAATTTTTGTTGTCTCTTCCGTGATTCATAGGTGTTCGTAAATTAATTTCAACAACAATCTCTTCGTTCGACACGACGATGAATAAGATTGATGTGTACACGATCGAGCTTTAATCATCAACGTTTGTAGAAGATATGTCATGCAGATGCTATCGTTCAGAGAACAACATTTCGTTTCACGGTTGACTGTGCTCTGCAAACAAAGCGATCATTCGAGATTCCTACGTGATGTTCGTTTGAAACATTTTACAAAAATTCGACGTTACATAAAACGAACGAGAGAAGAATCTGAGCGATGAAACGGAAAGAGGAATGTTGCTCTTTCTTCCGTTCTTCCGCGAAATGAAAAATCCAGCGGAATCGATCCCACCGGTATTCACGCGGCGCGTTTCATTCAAGAATTCGCGACGTCGCTCACGCGCTGAAAATAAAAGCAAACTTAAAGCTAAAGTGGTTCAGCGAAGTTTTATAAAACTATCGATTCGCGATAGGTATTAAATTTCTTGGCCCTGGATCGAGCCTATCCATTTACCGCACTGGTCCCTGGCGAGCGTACTATGGCGGAAGTTGTCGGTGGGGAGGTAGTCGGACACCGGAAGTTATATCGGTACTCAGGGCATGTACACAAATCATTCACGAATGACTCTTACACGTTTACACGACAGTATATAGAAAATGCTACGATTGTTGCAAACGCTTAGGAGGCGAGCCTTCTTTTCCATTCAGCGCCGTCTTTCGTTTCATCGTTAGTAAACGCTGCGTAAATTATTTTCTCGTTAAACAGACGAGATTATTTCGCTATTTAGATTCAACAGCGCTTTGTGAAACGTCTATGAAATACGAATCTGTTTGAACGTGTTTCGTCGTCATTTGCAGGCAACAAAAGAATTCATAGAGGCCGTTAATAAGTGTCGGGCTGGGAGACGAGCCGGCCCGGTGTCGTGGAGCACAGCTGTGAAATTTTTGACCGCGAGAAAGTTCGAAGTCGCGAGGGCACTAGCCCTTTACGAACAGCACGAGGCCACCAGAAGAAGGGAAGGTCTCGCACTTTTGTATCCCTCTCAGGAACCGTTGCTCAGTGAATTACGCACAGGAAAATTTACAGTTCTGGTAAGTGGCCGGGATCAGGGACGATGATCGTTTCCGTTTTGTCGAGTCGGTTGAACAACGGGTTCGTAAAAATGTTGTTGCAGCCTTCGCGGGACGCCACGGGAGCAGCCATAGCTATTTTCACAGCCCATTTACATCTTCCGCAAAATACAACGCACCAGACAACGCTACAAGTGAGTAAAACTCGTCGCGCGTAATTGCCGAGCGGAAATTCGATGGCTCATGATGGGCTTGGGATGATGTAAGAATTGCTCAACGGATTCCTTGTGACAAACGTCTAATCGCGGGACTTTCTCTGTCTCGTTCCAGGGCGTTGTGTATCAATTAGACGCGGCCCTAGAAAGTGTAGAGACTCAGAAGCATGGTCTGGTTTTTATTTATGACATGTCGGATAGCAAATACCAGAACTTTGACTATGATCTGTCTCAAAAGATTCTCACCCTCCTAAAGGTAAGTCTTTCAAACATCGAACTTAATCCATACATTATAAACGCTGTTCGGTAAATAAATATGTAAATGTATACTGGAAATTTATATTAGGTATTTGAAAAATTAAAATTAGCTAGTTCGCTTTTGCACGGTACATTTTACGTTCCGGTAATGAGAGCTCGGTTAAAGTTCCGACCGTAGAGTACGCGTATAACGCGGGACAAACGCATAAACTTCAGTGGTTAGTAGAAGGGGGAAGGGGTACAGACTTCGAAGGGTGTGTAAAGAACGGACAAGCTCGAGGGGTTGTTAACGCTTGACGAAAACCCCGTTCCGATTATCCAACGAACCGCGTCACGAAGGATGGAGCAAGGAATTTTCAAACGGTTCCATTGAATCGACGCAGTTGTAGAATAACTACGATACTATTTCCACGAACATATTTTTACGTCATCGAGCGCGTGGTAAAAATAATCTTTCGTTTGGTTCGATCGGTTGTTTGCTAGGCAGCCGGTATAAAGCTGAAATTCTGTACGGAAACGAGCTGCCGAGCACAATGCTATCCTCGTTTCATTCGGCTAATAGCATTTCATTCTCTACGCTCCATTGTGTCATCTACGTACAAAGCGACTATCACTCCGCGAGCGATCACAACTTTTCCGATAAAATTCTCGGTCTTTCGGAGAACGAACGTCGCACCCTTTCGTCGAAGATGACAGTGAGAAAATAATTTATATTTTCTCTATGAGAAATCGGTCCGCCTTAGCGGTGACGAGTTATAGTCTATCCTGATAACTCCCGGTATAATGTATGCTTTATTCCGACGAATCCTGTATGATAATCGGTGCGACACTTGTACTACCGTGTCGCGATGGGGTTGAGAGGCACTGTGCAATACGTCAGCGTACGTAGGACGTAGGATCGCACCTTTGCCAGGGAAAAAGAAATTCGCGTATGTCGTAAGGGATGCTAAAGCGGTCGCTGGTGAAAAGAAGGGGATCGTTGGAGCGCTTGCGCGCATACGCGTCGCGACGCTCGCGGTCAGTAATCATCGTGACCCCTTTGCGGCATTATCGTGTACAGATCGAAACGAGTCAGAGCCCGATTCGAGTCTACGCGAAATTTGCTCGGGTCGGGTCGGGTTGCGGCATCGCGTAATGTTGGCGAAGTAATAATCGGTCGCAATATGTTCTTCCGAAGCCGGGTGGTGGTTGCTCGCAAGCGTTTCCTCCGATTCGTGTCAACCGTGGAAAACGGTTTTGCTAATTTCGCGGTATCGATTGACTGACCGAGTGCCGGCAGTGATTTCGATTCCATCGATTCCAAGTCGTATGGGATTACTGGATTACCCTGGTGATTAATCAAACACTGACATGATCGAGAGCCCTCGATTTATCGATGCATCACTGTTTAACGAGATATAATTTATGTTTTATAATCCGCACGACAGGCGAGCGAGCTCGTCGATACCCGCAAATTAGTCGTTCGCGGTAAACTAAAATTCTAATCTATCGATCGATTATCCGACCGTTCTATCGGTCCTACTTGATTCACGCTCGTAATTGCGCGTCCAATCTGGCACGATCTCCGACGACCTACCTCTGCGACGAGTTCAGAGATTAAGCCCGACCATTGAAAGCACCTGGCAGTTAAAAGACTTTTCCGATGCTCTAGCGGGGTTTCGGTGCACAGTGTATATAATAGGGTTTGTGCGCTTAAGATTGCAAAGATGTAGTAGTGCCGCTGCTGACGTCGTTCCCGTTGCGTTACGGTACTTCCGCCCTCTATACACATCGCAGGGGTTACCGAGGGTTAACTCACCCTGTTTCCATTTCATGCGACCCGAACGAACGTATTACTTGTCCCAGTTCGAGTCAATCCCGTTTAATGGAACGCGCGAACGGGCTATAACAAAGGTCCGCTGATTGGATCGAAACTACGTAGTTCCGTATATAATTTACCTCTTCGCGTATTAAACATACGTCCGCGGATTGCTCGCAGTTGGCATTAAACGTATCTCACGGTTTACACACGCGCTAAGTCTATTATTGCATCGTATAGTATAGGCCAAGTTTGAAAGTCGCTCTATTTCGAAAATAAATTATGCACTCGCGTTAAACCGATCGCCTCTCAGTACCTACATTTTTTCAGTGTGCCACCGTCGACGTAAAAATAAACTTTCCAATCGATGCATCGTACTGTTCTAGGGTGGTTACCCAGCGAAATTGAAAAAGGTTTTAATCGTTACCGCGCCGTTGTGGTTCAAGGCGCCGTTCAAAATTCTTCGATTGTTCGTGCGCGAAAAATTGAGGGACAGAGTGTTTACCGTATCCATTCCTCAGTTGACGTTGCATATTCCACGGGAATCACTACCGCATCGCTTGGGTGGCACGTTGGAGATACAGCATGAGGCATGGCTGCTCCACTGTCTTAAATCCATGACAAACAGGGGCGGGGGTGAACTTTGCGAGGTCAGTTTCTCAACGAGACGCCAGCACAGGCTTGACGATAACGAGCGGCGATAATGACAGATGTTCTCTTGATTCCAGGTTACCCCCAGAGTGGGTAGTCCTCTTTCGCCCACATCGAAGAATCACACGACGGTTCATCAGAGTCCGAACGGAACTACAGTCAGTAGCTCAACTAGTCCTATAATCGATAAGAACAAAGTGAAGAATGGTATCTCGAACATCGGCGATATCGAGATTACGAACGGCGACGCCTGGATCGGTACCGACGAGGCGCCGTCCCCAGTTCAGCCTCCGTCCTCGGCCAGTTCGGGTTTCAGCGACGATGACAGTCTTCACGGGGACCTCGGTCTCCAAGCCGTCAGCATGGAGCAGCTCATCGAGGAAATTCATGCGAGGGGCCGCGCGGGTCTCATAGCCGAATACGCGGAGATCAGGCAAAGACCGCCGGAAGGTTCCTTCAATAACGCAAAGTGCGTAATCCTTGGAGAACATCCACTTGGAACGCGACCTTACCGAAGACTATATTTTCCAGATTGAAACCGAATCAATCGAAAAATCGGTACACGGACGTGCTCTGCTACGATCACAGTAGGGTGTGTCTGTCGATAATAGACGGAGATGCAACGTCGGATTATATAAATGCGAATTTCGTCGATGGTTACAAACAGAAGAACGCATTTATCAGTACCCAAGGTCCTCTACCGAAAACTTGCGGAGACTTCTGGAGAATGGTCTGGGAGCAACAGACGCTCGTCGTCGTTATGACCACGAGGTAAAGTGGATACTTTTAAACTGATCGCGACTCGAGAAGAGATTGTTTTCCTGATCGTTGATCGTTCTCAGAGTGGTGGAACGGGGGCGTACGAAGTGCGCGCAGTATTGGGCACCGGAACCGGGTGAGAAGGTTCAACCGGGCAATTTCACCGTCACCACTCTCGAGGTGGACACCAATCCCGATTATACGATATCGATGCTTCTCCTCACGAACAACAAGGTACGCTCTGTTGAATTTTTCTGCTTGGGCGACGAGATCGGAAGCGTTCGATGGATAAATATAATCGCCCTTGTTGCAGACTGACGAGTCAAGGGAAGTTTGTCACATGCTGTACACCGCGTGGCCTGATTACGGTGTTCCGCAGTCGGCCAGGGCTCTGTTACAGTTCTTAGCCTTAGTAAGACAACAACAAAATAAGTTACTCGCTAGTAGAGGAGACACGTGGGCCGGTCATCCACGGGGACCTCCTATAGTCGTCCATTGCAGTGCCGGGGTAGGAAGGACCGGTAAGTGTCGACGTCTACGACGTTTTCTCTCTCATGAGAACGAAGATATTTATAGCGCGCTGCTTTTTTTATTTCAGGTACGTTCTGCACGTTAGATATTTGCATATCGCGACTAGAGGACACCGGGACCGTGGACATTCGGGGAACCGTGGAGAAGATCCGCGCCCAGAGGGCCTACAGTATTCAAATGCCAGACCAATACGTATTCTGTCATCGAGCCCTGGCGGAGTACGCGCTTTCCAGAGGGATGCTCAGCCCCCAACATCTCGCTATGTTACCTCCGACCATAGAACAAGATTCTGATTAGAATCTTAAGCTCTGTTATTACCTACTGGATTGATGTTCTTCCCGAGTACGCATAATAGCCTCCTTACATAGCCTATCTCTAGCTTAAGTAACTGATGGTTATTTTTTGCTATCACCTCTCCATCGATGTAATATTTCAGATTTCTACTCTTACGTTAGGCGATATACATATATATATATATATATACACACACACATATATATATATATATTTAGAGAATATCGAAAGAAAGACTAGTTTTTTCAAGGCCAAATGTGTGAACAGAAACGGGGTTCGATTTCTGTTTCTTGGTATTTTGCTCTATGAACAAAGAATGATTCGATACTATGACAACTAATAATAATACTAATAATAATAATGAACCGGTGCGGAGGCACCGAGCGTGGCTGTTCGAGTAGTAATTAGCACGAAATGATGGCACAATCGGATCCGCCAACACTATTTTAACCCTCTCATATAGATAAATTTTATTGTATATCCAGATCTGTTATTGAAGTTATTTAAAACGAGTAATTTATAGAACGCTTTACTTTGTGAACATTCCATTTGAAAACGATTACTATGTCAATTAAATTACTACAAGTGTAGTGGACCGCGTTATACCATAGGTTTAAAATCAGTATTTCCTTCTATAATCGTATGCTTAATTTATTGCAAATAAATATACACCCCCGTTTTTCCAATTTTACTCATTCTCTAGCTTCGCGTTTCTATTATACTTCGGTGAAACGTACTCCGCAAAGCGCGCTTCGGACACGCGAAGTGCGGAGCTTAAATTGTTGGATACAGAGTTATAAGAATGTAATGTTAGAGAATCTTTGTATGAGAGGGTTAAACTGAAAACTATCCAGAATTCTATCGACGATCCAACTACGAGAAATTTTAGAGGATTTAGAGAAATGTTAAATTTTGCGAAAGATCACAAACTACAGAAAAGCGTAACTTTTTCGATAATTATCCGAGAGGTTTAAAAACGTATGAAGAATGTTTTCTGTTACAGAAACGCAGTAGATAATCAGAATATGTTCTTTTTTGGGGGAGGGGGTAACCAAAGATTTATCTCCTATGCTATTACGAAACAACATTGCAATCGCATACAAGCCCAATTGGTCGACAGATTCCTTCGCTGAGGGAATGCTAATCAGGGATCGTGTACAGATTAAGAATACTCCGAATGTTTAGGAGGACGGTGTGAAAACTTTCAAGGAGAGAATCTGGTTTGTCTCGAGAATCAAACGTCTTCGTTTTAGCGAGGATACAATTTTTTAAGATATTAGCGAAGATATATACGAAGCAAATTCAAAGTATGCTCTTCCATAAAAGCCTTCGTGTATTATATGAAAATAAGAGAAGGGGATAATTGTGATTTATATAATTTAAGCTTTTAGGAAAGTGACGATATCATTTTCGGAGCTTTAAACATTTTCGTTTGTTGTCGACTGTCGGAGCATGCGAGATACGTACGTACTTTGGTTTTACGCGAATCCATAAACCATTCGCCGAGATACCAATAGCTATTTCAGTTTGTCGGCAGCTTTTTTAGAAACGTAGTTTTATCGATCGCAAACGCGGCGCGTCCAACGATAGGATAAAGATACGCGAACAAAGTACGAGAGATTGACGTCGGTATGATTTCGGAACTCTGTCGCGAATACTGATGCTTTTTTAATATGAATTTTGAGTATTCGTTCGAGAGACGCGAGTGAGAATTTTTTTTATCGCGGTGGAGCGAACCTGGTTGAAAGTTTGAATGAGAGAGGCAACGATAGGGGTTCCGCTCGAATTAAAATTATATTCGCATACGTGTTTCATCTCATCGTCGGAGAGTCCTTGTAAAACAATTTAAATACCTTGAATATAAATGTTCACAAGCGAAGAGTAAATATCGAGTCCATGTCGTGAAATTGTCCGATTTATAGCTACCGTTCTGTCTAACCGTCTATTTGTTGAATGTATATTAAATAGTTGCGAGAAAATCATACTACTAAATTGTTGTTACAAAGGCAATGACAGTATATCTGTTGCCTCATGCATTCGATGTCGTGATACAGAGGCATCGCGAACTTGTTGAAGGAATCGCGGGATACGACGTGTGATGGCTGTTAGAATTTTCCTCGACACAATCCGCCAATTTCCGTTCACGATTACGCTGTCACGCCAGTGTGAACGTGTTTAAACGTTCTCAATATAAATTCCCCGTTTGTTGAAATTGATTTACATTGGACGAAGCTGAAGAGCTCGTTCATTACAAAACTTCTGTCCGGAATACAACGCGTGCATTTTATACACGGTCTATCTATTACGCGCAAAATTTACCTGGTTCACTTCGTGGTTTTGGTTCTATCGACAGTGAACCGTTTGTTAGGAATATCTTGGAATTTTATAAATGAAATCGCTGTTATATCGAACGCTTAGTCAGATGTTTGAATCAAAGTATTCGGGTTCCTTTCAGCTTGGATCATTTTAAAAAGGGCATAAACTATCGGTACGCGGTCATGTTTATTATCACCCTGTTATCATTCTCTCTTTAATTGTTACATTACAATTTCTAACGTTTGTAATTAGTTCACGATGTCTTTTTATATATTATCTAGGTACGTATTTATTAAAAGCATTATCTTTAACTATTCGTAACGTGTACATAGTATGTATATGTATGCATGTACGTATCGTATACCATCGTATGTATTACATACATACATATACGCACACGTTCGTCAAGTTGAACCTCCGTGTTCCCAGGATTGCATTGCTAAGAACGTGTTGAAAATACGAAGTGCACGTTTCATTTAATTCAGTGTTTCTTTGATTTTACTCAGTTTCATTCATCCGAACGAGCACGATCTGTGGACACGGAGGTTTCATCTAGTTACAATTTTCTTTGAAGGGAACGAAAATTCCAGTTCGATGTTTCTCATCTCTTTCTCTTTCTCATCGAGGATGAATGTAATGCGTGATTTTATAGCAATTTTTGCGTGCGTGTCTATTCTCCACTGTTCGGTAAACACGGATAAATGCGCAAACGAAAACGAATGAAACCGCATCAGCAGGTACCAAAGTTTCCTTTTGTAAAACATTCGGGCGAGTACGTAACTCGTACTGTAGACCCTTTTAGGATATAATTTCCCTTGCGCATTACCGAAAACCGAGGGTATAAATAAGTTAAACTAATAATCGATTCAACAGTATTATGA